ATCAACAGCAACCAGGAGCAGCAGGGAGGGGCACCAGCAGCTTCTTCTTCCTCGAAGCCCCCAACACTTTCTGGTCTTCAGCATTTACTCCCTCTCCAGAGTCCCCAGATTTAAACTATCTGCAGCTGGCAAAGAGCCCCTCTCAGAGCCTGCACGAGGCAAATAGTTTGCTGCTGTGGACCATCTGAATCAGTCCCGTGTCCCACACCTGGGATTAAAACAAAAAAAAAAAAAACCAAAAAAAAAACATGTAGCCAGGTGCAGTGGCGCACACCTATGATCCTAGCACTTGGGGAGGCAGAAGCGGGTGGATCTCTGTGGGTTTGAGGTCAACCTGGCAAATCCAGGACAGGCAAGGCTACACAGAGAATCTCTGTCTTGAAAAAAAGAAAAGAAGAAGAAGAACATGTTTACAATAACATAACTGAGTTTTTAAAGACTCTAAAACTTTCTACTACATGAGAGTGTCAGATCCCTTGGAACAGGAGTTACAGACAGTTGTGAGCTGCCATCTGGGTGCTGGGAATTGAACCCCGGCTCCTTCGGAAGAGCAGACAGTGCTCTCAACCACTGAGCCATCTCTCCAGCCCGTGAATCCTTATATTATAATGTTGTTTGGATGAAATCCACATTATGGCTGAAGACAATATTTTTTAAGTTTTTATTACATTCTTATTTATTCCTTTTGTGTGCACGTGTGCATGCATGTAGGTGGATGTGAGCGCCACAGCCCGCTTCTGGAGGTCAGAGGACAATTTGCTGTGTTGGCTCTGTCCTTCCATCTTTCCAACTCAGGTTGTGTCGCAAGCACCGTTACCAGGAGCAGTATTTTGTAGAAATTAAGCTTCCTAGTCTTGGCTAGTGAGGTAGCTTGAGGGGAAGGCAGGATGTAACACTGTCCCACCCGGGCAGGAGACACTGGGAGGCTGAAGCATGGATGCAGGCTTTAGAAGGCTCCACTGGGCAGACGGACCAAAGGAGAGCCCTGGAGGTGAGAAGGCGAGGTTCTTCAGAAGCAGCAGGGGCTGAGCTGGGTGGGCTCTGGAGCCCGGAGAAACCTTGAGTACTGAAGACCCAGCTTTGAACCTTGTGTGTTCAGGGCTGAGCTGCCTCATAAACATGCACAGGAGTCCTATATGCCACTGAAATTTTTCTTAGGGCCACAGAGAAAAAAAATAGAGATGGAGGAAATATATATATATATATATATATATATATATATATATATATATATATGTAATATATATTCTGCTGGAAAAAAAAACTGAGAGAAATATATATGTCAGTGGCAGGGCTCTTGCAAATGTTCAGGCCCCAGATTTGATTCCCCAGCACCACAAAAATAAATAAATAAATAAATAAATAAATAAATAAATAAATAAATAAGTAAATACATGTAGAGCTGCCCATTGGCTTGTTGTGGTGGTGCACGCCAGTAGGATTTGCTGAAGGAGGCAGAGGCTGGAGGATCAGTCGGAGGCCAGCCTGGGCTGTACATTTTCGGCCAGCAGTGGTGGCACACGTCTTCAATCCCAGCACTCAGAGAGGCAGAGGCAAGTGAATCGCTATGAGTTCGAGGCCAGCCTGGTCTACAAAGTGAGTCCAGGACAGCCATGGCTTCACAGAAAAAAAACTCTGTCTTTAAACAAACAAACAAACAAACAAACAAACAAGTAAATAAATGAGAACAAAAAAAGAAAAATAAACAGATGAAGGAGCCAGACTTGCTGCTTTTGACTTGAGTTCTGATCTCCAGCACTCACCTAAAAAAAGCTAGACACAGTGTGGGCCTGGAATAACACTTGGGAAGGAAAGATGGAAGGGTTCCTGGAACTTGGGGGCCAGCCAGTGTAGCTGAATTGGTGTGCTCCAGGAAAAAGACTCTGTCCCCTCCCCGCCAAAAAATAAGGTGGAGATCAATCGAGAAAAGCATTGGGTATTGACCCGTGGCCTCCACACACACATACAGCCCATGCATGTCTCAAAGGAATAAAAAATGACATGACAAATGGGGACAAAAATAAATAGAATAAATGTATTTATCAGCTCCCAATGTCTGGCATGCTCTGCTCCTTCCTAGGCTCAATTTCCTCCTGCTAAAAAAAGATAAGTGATGTTTTTTTTTTTTTTTTTTTAGTAAAGGTCTGTTAGCGGGCAGTTTTATTATGGGGGGGGGGATTGGTTGGCTTGTTTGGTAGAGATATAATTAGCTCTGGGTGGCTTTGAGCTCCATAAGCATAAGTACTGCAAGTTATTTATTTTCTCATTGATTTTTGAGTTAAAGTCTCCCTATGCCATCAGGGCTGGGCCTGAGCTCAATCTGTCATCCAGACTGGCCTCCTGAGTTGCTGAGATCCAGACCTAGTCACCAGTCCTCCTCCTCCTTTGGGGGTTAATTTTGAAATCATATCTGTTGCCTTTATTAATCCTACCACTCAGGAGGCAGAGGCAGATCTCTGAGTTTGAAGTCAGCCTGGTCTACAGAGCCATCTCCAAGATGGCCAGGGCTACACAGAGAAACCCTGTCTCAAAAATAAAAAATAAAACGCTGAGCAGTAGTGGTTCATGCCTTTAATCCCAGCACTTGGGAGGCAGAGGCATGAGTTCAAAGCCAGTCTACAGAGTGAGATCCAATCCAGCCAAGGTTACGAGGAGAAACCCCCCCTCTGCCTCCCAAATGCTGGGATTAAAGGTCTGTGTCAGCACCACCCAGCTCTTCTTTTAATTCCTTATAAAGCATACCCCAGAGGTATGTGAATGTACTCCTACGAGCAAACACTCCTGCTAACGCTTGCTTGCTCATTGCTCGCCTCTGGGTTTATGAGTTCAAATTCCATGGGCCTCTGGATGGGGTAATCCCACATTATCTGTTTAGGAAATTTGTCTTCCTAGAGAAGAATTTAACTTCCTTTCTTATGAACCTTACCAATGCCTCCCGCAATGTTTACTTGTCCTTAGTTTTTACTTCAACATTCAGGACAACTTATATTTGAAAATTATTAATGGGACTTCTATATCTTATCAAGTACAGTTGTTTTTTAAAATATTCATTTATTTTCTGTTTATATAGTACTTTGCCTACATGTAGGCCTACAAAACAGAAGAGGGCACCAGATCTCATTATAGATGATTATGAGCCACCATGTGGTTACTGGGAATTGAACTCAGGACCTTTGGAAGAACAGCCAGTGCTCTTAACCCCTGAGCCATCTCTTCAGCGCCTGTACAGTTGTTTTTAAGATAGAGCTTCACATAGCCAAAGATGACTATCCTCCTGCCTTCACCTCCTGAATGCTGGGATTACAGGTGTGTGCAATCACATTTCCTTGGTTTATGCAAAGCTAGGAGCTGAGCCCAGGGCTTTGTTCATGCTGGACAAACTCTCTATCAGCTGAGCGACATTCCTTACAGGAGTACAAAATGTTTGGGTTTTGAAACAGGGTTTCAGCGTATAGCCCAGACTTGCTTCCAACCATAGAGATCTGCCTAGACAGCCTCCAGAGTCCTGGAATGAAAAACATTCACCACCACCACCACCACCACACACACACACACACACACACACACACACACACACATTTGTATATATGGTTTTTTTTTTTTTTTTTTTTGAAACAGTGTTTCTCTGTATGTAGCCCTGTTTTAGAATTCCCCCTCTGTAGACCAGGCTGGCCTAAAACTCACAGAGATCCTCCTGCTTCTGCCTCCTGAGTGCTGGGATTAAAGGAATGTGCCACGACTGCCCAACTCTTACAAAGTCTTTTGTCTTTTAGAGTTTATCTTCCCAGGACTTGAGGTGAAGCTAACATATTGTCTCCCATTCCCAAATAGTTAAGCTTTTAATATCTTACCAAACTGGAACAACAGTACACACACACACACACACACACTAAAGCACAAGCAGATTTCGTGGTGCATATCTGTGTGTAATCCCAGCTGCTTTGGAGCCTGAAACAGGAGGATCTTGAGTTCATGGCTACCTGTGAGACCATGTTTCAAAATGAAAAAAGAAAGCGGGCCAGCAATATGGCCTAGAGATTAAAAGTGAGTGGTGTGCAAGCCTGACTGCCTGAGTTCAAGTCCCAGAACCCTTGTTAGAAGGAGAGAGCTGACTCCTGACCTCCACACACATTCTGTGGCGCACTCATGCTCACACATACACATCACACGTGAGTGTGCACGCACACACACACCCACACACACCAATAGTAATAATAAAAGAAAAACAATATCCCTACAGTTCCTCTTCTAGGTTTTGTTCTCTTGGCTGTTGGCCCCTGGGGATTCACCTTGGTTTCAAAAGGAAGTTTTAGGATTTGTCTCTTTAGAAAACAAGAGACCGAAAACCTGGCAGGCCACTTCTGCATGAAGAAAAGGCTGAATGCTTGGTGACAAGTTAGGAATTGGTATTTTCAGCCCCTGGGTGAGTGAGTGCCTGACTGGCGTCAGCCCTCAGGTGAAACCATCACATTCAGAGATCCTTCTCTCCTTTTCACAGCCACGCCTTCTGGGCCAGTCCCAGTAGACGCCAAGGCCTGTCCATGGCGGGATGCCTGGAGATGGAGGCGACCAACGGTTCGGAGGGTGGCTTGGAGTTCAACCCTATGAAGGACTACATGATCCTGAGTGATGCCCAGCGGGTGGCTGTGGCTGTGCTGTGTACCCTGGTGGGTCTGCTGAGCGCCCTGGAGAACGTGGCCGTGCTCTATCTCATCCTGGCCTCCCAGCGGCTCCGCAGGAAGCCCTCGTACCTGTTCATTGGCAGCTTGGCTGCGGCTGACTTCCTGGCCAGTGTGATCTTTGCCTGCAACTTTGTCATTTTCCATGTCTTCCACAGTGTTGATTCCAAGGCTGTCTTCCTGCTGAAGATTGGCAGCGTGACCATGACCTTCACGGCCTCCGTGGGCAGCCTGCTGCTGACAGCCATTGACCGATACCTGTGTCTGTGCTACCCACCTACATACAAAGCCCTGGTCACCCGTGGGAGGGCACTGGTGGCCCTCTGTGTCATGTGGGCCCTCTCGGCACTGATCTCCTACCTGCCGCTCATGGGATGGACTTGCTGTCCTAGTCCCTGCTCTGAGCTGTTCCCACTTATCCCCAATGACTACCTGCTGGGTTGGCTCCTGTTCATTGCCATCCTCTTCTCTGGCATCATCTACACCTATGGGTATGTCCTCTGGAAAGCCCACCAGCATGTAGCCAGCTTGGCTGAGCACCAGGACAGGCAGGTGCCTGGGGTAGCTCGGATGCGGCTTGATGTGAGGTTGGCCAAGACCCTGGGGCTGGTACTGGCTGTTCTTCTCATATGCTGGTTCCCTGCACTGGCTCTCATGGGCCACAGCCTGGTCGCCACGCTCAGTGACCAGGTCAAGGAGGCCTTCGCCTTCTGTTCCATGCTGTGCCTTGTTAACTCGATGGTTAATCCTATCATTTATGCCCTGCGGAGTGGAGAGATCCGCTCTGCTGCCCAGCATTGCCTGGCAAGCTGGAAAAAATATCTACAGGGCCTCGGGCCTGAGGGGAAAGTAGAAGCCCCAAGGTCCTCAGTTACAGAGACAGAGGCTGATGTGAAAACCACGGCGGATCCAGGGGCTGGAACTCCAGGCTGCTCCAATTGCTGAGGGCACTTGTTTTCCTATTGGAAACAGCCTGAGTCAGAAACCAGTTCACTCTCCTGAGGAGAGAGGGGTCCCAGACCCAGAATCTTTCTGAAGTCAGCTCTAGGGTACCTCTTTTTTGCCAAGAAGTGCTCGGTTTCGTGGCTGGAGGGTAGCCTGGTCATGTCTATGGAGAGTGAGGCCTGTAAGAACAGCAGGGTTTGTTCACAGCAGATCAGGAAACCCTCCTGACTCCAAAGACCAAGAAGCCAGAGGAGCCTCCAGGGATGGTAATAAGGAACTCAGAGGAGACCTGAGAAGACAGGGGACCTGTTCTCCTGTGACCTCAGGGGACCCTGGACAGCGTAGCCACTGCCCACAACTTCCTCAATGTCCATGTCTTCCATGCTGTGGATTCCAAGCTGTTCTCCTGCTGAAGATCGATAGTGAGACCAGCTGGTTCTGGTTCCTGCTTCATTGTCTGGGATTCTGTGTCTGTAGAACATGTGAGGCTCCACCCTGAGGCTGCCCTTATCTCTTAAGGATCAAGAATTATGATGTGCTGGGGATCAAGGATGTTGCCACACCTCTTTCAGACAGAGTCACGAGCCATCAGCTCAGGGTATCTTGTTGGACAAGGGCCCTCCTGACATCCTGATAAGACTTGAAGTCATTAGGGCGTTAGGTCCCTGGGGACCCAGAGGAGGCAAGGTTCTCTGGAGGTGAAGAGTCTTCAGAGAACTGTGCTGACCTGTGAGATTCTGCAGTGCCTGGCCCTGCTCCAGTAAAAAGCAAGATATTCACAAAGACCCTCTGGGTGCTAGACTGTTCCCAGGGATGCTCAGCTCAGTCCCCTTGCTCTTCCACACTCTGGTCCTGCAGCAGAAGCAGCAGGAGTTGGGGAGGGAAGACTTCCAGCTGTGGACCAGGCACAGGCTGACATCCTATGTCCACAGCCCCCGGCTGAGTGCCAGGGTACCTGAATTTTACCTTCACTAAGGCTGCATTCACAACAGAGGTGGGTTCAAGAGACTGCTGGTGGCAGAAGGGGACCACAGACACAGTGAAGGGAAAGCTATCTGCTAAACATGTCATTTAGCACTCACCAAACAACGTGCTCCCTGTCCACTTACTCTTTCACCTGTACCATAAATGTGTGTGTGCCGGGCTTTGTGCTGGGTCCTGGATATCCAACCATAAAGGAGACAGACCCTGTGTGGGGCTTGCAGTCCACATTCTGATAAGAGTTAGTAACAGCCAGGCATGGTGGCGCACACCTGTAATCCCAGCCCTCAGGGAGGCAGAGGCAGGTGGACCACTGTGAGTTCAAGGCCAGCCTGGTCTACAGAGTGAGTTCCAGGACAGCCAAGGCTACACAGAAAAACCCTCTCTCAAAACAAAACAAAACAAAACAAAACAAAACAAAACGAGTTAGAAAAGCTGAGCCTGGTGACACAGACCTGTTAATTCCAGCTTCTTAAAAGGCCGAGGCAAGAAGAGCCTAAATTCAGAGCCCGCCTGAGCTACACCTGGAGTTCAAGTTCAACTGAGGCAATTTAGTGGGACCCAGTGTCAAAATAAAAAACAAAAAGCTGGAGCTGCGCATAGTGGTACACAAACACAATCCTGGTGTTCAGGTAGACTTGCTGAAGGTTTAAGGGCAGCCTTACATAAGTGTATGAGCTTTAGGCTGCATGTATGTCTGTATGCCACATGTGTGCCAGCAGGGGCCAGAAGATCCCTTAGAACTGGTGTTACTAGACAGTTGTGAGCCGCCATGTGGGTGCTGAGAATCAAACCCATTCCTTCGGAAGGGCAGCCAGTGCTCTATGCCTCAAGCCGTCTCCCAGCCCCGAATCCAGCTCTCGAGCACTTCCTACTTTGGCTTTTAGTTGAGAGGCCGAGTTTATGAAGGAGAAGAACAAGTCAAAGGCCCTGGATATAGATAAGAAATAGCCTTGTTTAGCTGATGACCCAGCCAGCAGAAGCTAACCCCATTGCTCAGAGAAACTACCAAGGAGCTGTCCAGGGCAAATTAATTAATTAATTGATTGATTTGTTAATTATGCGGGTCCACCCACTCTACCATCGACTTTCCCACATGCCTCTGCAAGATGACATTTGGTTCCTCTGTTCAGGTCATGGTGTCCTAGTTCATTCTTCCCAAGACAAGTCCTGTGCATCAAAGCCACTGCAAGTTCTAATCGCTATTTGGGAGGATGAGGGAGAAGAAGTTGATTTTTTATTTTATTTTATTTAACTTTATTTTATGTGCATTAGTGTGAAGGTGTCAGATCCCTTGGAATGGGGATTACAGACGGTTGTGAGCTGCCATGTGGGTGCTGGGAATTGAACCTGGGTCCTTTGGAAGAGCAGACAGTGCTCTCAACCACTGAGCCATCTCTCCAGCCCCCGATTTTTTTTTTAAGTCATCTATGCTTAGTGTTTTAGACCCTAGTTCAACATAAACCTGGGAAGAAACAGAAAATACCCGTGTTTCCTTATTACTCCCCAAAGGAGGAAGCGCTTGGTTCTGTCAGCATAAGCCCAGGTTTCTCCAAGGTGCCAGACAGAGTAGGTGGAGGTTGTGTTTCCGGAGCTGTGAACGCTGGCACTACCCTTGGTCCACGCGTGCTTAGGAGAGTCTGTGATCTCAGGCAGCCCCAGGCCCCTTTCCTCGCCTTGGTTTCCTTCTGTGTAAATTGGGAAAGGTAGGGAAGAAGATGCCATCAAGGGGCACTAAAACCTTTTATTGCTCTAACACGCTGAGGTTGTCTCGGCAACTGTGGAGAGGTTGTGCCACAAGGACCGTATGACTTCTGGCTTGCATATTTCCTGCAGCTATGGACACGCATGCGCGCACACACACACACACACACACACCACTGGGTGTGGTGACCTGCCAGACAAGCTTTGCAGATACTTCTGGGGCAAGAAGTTCTCTGGGCTCTCAATTTTCTGGTCCTGGTATTCTAAAAAGCGTGCCTCAAGGGCCCCCTGTGTGGGGGTCAGGCATGCGAGTTTAGCGGTGCCAGATTGAACCCAAGACCTTCCCACAGGCCAAGCAGGTGCTCTACTCCTGAGCTACCCTCCAGGGTCAGGTTTTCTTCAGTTAGATGCTAAGCTCTCTGAGAGTCCCTCAAGGGATTTGGGGTGCAGCTCAGCCTGTGCTTCCTTCGCGTGGGCAATTCCCTGGCCAGTACTGCATAAAAGCGGGAATGGTGATGCTACCCTCACTCGTGAGGTAGGAGTAGGAGGATCAGGAATGCAAGGTCATCCTAGCTGTAACTTCGAGGCTAGCCTGAGCCCTACGAGACCCTCTGACCTCAAAATAAATTTAAATTAAATTAAAATGCTTAAATGCCTCCGAGTTCTCAAAGTAAGTTCAGTAAACAAGAAACGGGCCAAAATAACCACGTCTGCCCTTCCTCTCTCCGCAGCTGTCTCTCGCCCTTCCCGTTAAGCTCCTTATCGTGTTTCTACCTCGCTATTTCAAAACCTCCTCCGCAGCTCTCCAATCTGCTAAACCCCACCTGCTGGCTGGATGTATAGCGCAGAGAGACCGTGGCTCCTAAATAACCACTGAATAAAGTGATCCGGTTTCAGTCCTCCCCTGAGGATTGGTGCAACATCGAGGACCCCTCCCAGTTCTCCGAACACCCTGGGTCTTTCCTACGTGCCTGAACCCGGCAATTAAGCCTTTAGGGGAGACTACGGAGTTTAAACTCAATAGATCAGAGCCGTCAACGCCGCTCGGCCTCCTTCTCCCTTTCAACTCCAGAAGGCGCTCTGGAGACCACGCCTCAAAAGGCTGGCTGGACCATAGGGGTGACCCCGCCCCTTTGCCTTCCGAGCCAATCATTACTCCGGGAGGCGGGGCTATGCGCCGACGCCTGCGCGTTAAGAGGGGGCGGTGCGGATGCGGAAGCAGGGATGTGGGAGCTGAAAGGTGAGCGGCGGTCGGTGGGCGCCTGGCGGCTGCTGCTGCTCTTAGCCGCTGTGGCCCAGGCCGTGGCCAAGGCTCCTCCGCACCGCTACAGCCCGAACTGGCAGAGCTTGGACTCGCGGCCACTGCCGAGCTGGTTCGACGAGGCCAAGTTCGGAGTGTTCGTGCACTGGGGGGTGTACTCGGTGCCCGCCTGGGGCAGCGAGTGGTTCTGGTGGCACTGGAAGGGCGAGCGGATACCGGCCTATGAGCGCTTCATGAAAGACAACTACCCTCCCGGCTTCAGCTACGCCGACTTCGGACCGCGGTTCACGGCGCGCCTCTTCCACCCGGACCAATGGGCTGCTCTCTTCGAAGCTGCCGGGGCCAAGTGAGTGCGGGCCGGGCTCGAGGGGGGACGGGGCAGGCCCACGGTCGGCGCGCCTGACCTCGGGAGGCCCCGAACCTCGCGTTCTGCATCCTGGAGGAAGGAAGGAGCACTGGCGCCGAAGAAGAGAATCCAGCTGGGGATTGGCTTTGAAAAACGAAGGCGGGAAAGCACTGGCTATTGGGCCTGTGTGGAGAGGGTAGAGCCCGCTGTTTGCTCTAAAAGGGCCAGGACCCTCTGCACTGTCATCTGCCCGGAGTTGTGGCCCTGAATCTTAGGCTACCGTGGCATCCGTGGAAGGTTATAAAACGAAGCCGCCCGACTTCTTGTAGCCCTGTGTCTCTAAATGGAAAAGGAAGGCTGGGAGTTTTGCGTTGCTCTCTGTGTTCTCACTCACCCTCTCTTCCTTGTAGAACTTGGAAGAGGAACAGGGTTGTTAGGGCAGAGCCCTAAGCCAGAGAAATTTGGCTGACTTGGGGACCGAGGGGTTTGGCCAGCTGGTGAAATAGTAGGAAGCCTCCTGCTTCTGGCTTACAGGCGTCCTCCGGGTTTCAGTTTCCTCTGGACCTTGGGGTTTCTTGTACTGAAGGGAGACGCTGTGTACTTATAGCTGGCTCTTAGTGTTTGCCATTACTTGTATGGGGAGTAAAAGACCTGAAGAAACAGGAGCCTGTCATTTAGCCATCTCCGAGATCCATAATTTACAAATGAAACAGGTTGGACTCCAGCCTCTTTCCTGACTCCCTGCTTAATGGCTGAGGTGATTAACCCAGAGAGAGGAAGAAGCCTGGTGTCCTAGAGATGAAAGCTCTCGGACACTGCAGCCAGGGTCTGCAAGCCATAACCAGAGGGACTAGTTATTTGCCTGCTTTATACGGGTTCTTATATTGAAGGAGGACAGCTTAAAAGAGGAAGGAGGTGTATTGGAGGAATGTTTGTATGGGCCTAAGACACCGAACGACCCTGAAGTCCAGCCAGTGATGAAATCACATGTACCTGTTATCTTTTTAAAAATTTTAAGTTGCTATAAAAGTAAACAACATAGTGGCCGAATTGATTATTTCAACACTTGTCTATTCGGTCCCAGATAGTTGAGTCTTTGTCACCGTAAATGAAGGGCAATTCCACCATGCTGGTTAAAAACAAGCAGCTGCCACCCCTATCATCTTGCCAATGGAACATGGCGGAGGGTTGAAAACAGTTCATGACTTATGCCCAGAAGGGTTGAGTCTGAGAGCTAAGGTACGCAGTTTTTCTGTCACCTTTCCCTCCCCTCTGGGCCTCCAGTGCCTCCTTCCATCCTTGAGTCACGCCTACTCGAGGGCATTGTCACTGTAGAGGCATCTTGGTTGTCACAGTGACTCATCCCAGTACCTTTCCTGTAGTCCGGATCTCTCCGCCATGTTAAACTTCTCGGGCATGCTGGGCAAGGCCATGGTTGTGGACACTGCCTGCTTCCTTCGTCCTCACTTGGTTTTGATGTCTGCAGGTATGTGGTCCTGACCACAAAGCATCACGAAGGCTTCACAAATTGGCCCAGTCCCGTGTCTTGGAACTGGAACTCAAAGGACGTGGGGCCCCATCGTGATCTGGTTGGTGAGTTGGGCGAAGCTGTGCGGAAGAGGTGCGTGTCTGTGGACATCCCAGCCCTCCAGTATTCCATCTCTGTTGCCTCTTGTTTGTCTGCTAGGGTCATGTTCAGCCAGTGAGCAGATGGGCTCCCAGACGCTGGGTTTGAGATTTGTCGGATTTCACATGACTAAAGGTGACACAATGAAAGAGGTTCACAGCTGGGCATGGTGGCACACACCTGTAATCCCAGCACTCTGGGAGGCAGAGGCAGGCAGATCACTGTGAGTTCGAGGCCAGCCTGGTCTACAAAGTGAGTCCAGGACAGCCAAAGGCTACACAGAGAAACCCTGTCTCGAAAAAACAAAAAAAGAGAGAGAGAAAGAAAAAGGTTTGCAGTGGGGTGAAGGGCACCCAGCAGAGACCATGATGGTCCATTTGCAGCCTGCAAAGGATTTCTTTGGGAAAGCTTGCAGTGCAGAGAGCTTTCTAGTATGGGATGGACGCCAAGGACTGGGTCTCACCTTTCTCTTAGTAGCCACCTGTGCACCAAGGGCTAAGGGCAGATCAAAAACTAAAAAGGGAAGCACACAATTGATTCTATTCAACACCCCCTAGTATTTGTCACTTAGTAAGAACTTGTCAGACAGGGTGCTACGAAGGGATGATTCTAGCACCTGGGAGGCAAAGGCAGGAGGGTCAGGAGTTCAAGGCTGGCCTTCCAAACATGACCCCAGGGTAGATTCAAGTCATGACACTGAGCCCTGTCCCCAGTCACCTGCACATATTCAGGTTTTGAGCCTTACTGGCTATGTTTGCCTATAAGAAAAAAAACAAAAAAACGACTTTCTGCTGTGACTGTTTGAGGGATGGGCTGACTACCTGTTTATATAAATCATGTTTAGTTGGAACACAGCCATGCCTGTGTTACACACTGCCCATGACTGTCTCATGGAACAAGTTGAGAGCTGAGACAAAGACCACAGAGCTTACAAAGTCCATGGACTGTCTGGACCTTTAGGAATACATTTGCTGACTCCTGTTACTTGCTCCGTGCTGCACTTGGCAATAATTTTCGGGTAAACATTCTGATCTTAGGTCAGATCTGGCTCAGATCTGGACTTTGGAAGTAGCTGTTTTCTTCTTGTTTGGTTTGGTCTTACGAGACGAGACCTTGCTCTGTATCCCCAAGGGTTTGAAACCTGCTATGCAGACCAAGCTACCTTCTAACGTGAAGTGCTCCTCCTGTGCCTCTGCCTTCCAGGTACTGGGGTTCCAGGCCTGTGCTGAGTCACGTGCTGAAATTAACCCCCGCTTCAGCTTTTTTTCTTATCTGTGCCTTGCCGTGTTATTTCTCTTCGTTACCTACATCGTAATGTTTGCATAGCACCACGTCTTAATTGAACCATAGTAATTGTACATTTTTATGAGGCACGGTGTGACATGCATACAGGATATAATGAGCAAATCAGGGTAATTAGCATTTCTAGCTCCTTAATCATTTGTCATTTCTTTGTGTTATGGACCTTCAGACTCCTTTTTTCTAGTTCTTTAAAAATATATTTAGGGGCTGGAAAGATGGCTCAGTGATTGAGAGTACTGGCTGTTCTTACAGAGGAGCAGGGTTCAATTCCCAGCACCCACGTGGCAGCTCACAACTGTCTGTAGCTCCTGTTCCAGGGGATCTGACTCCCTCACACAGACATACATGCAGTCAAAACACCCATGTACACAAAATACAAATAAATAGTTTTTTAAAAAGTATTTAATATGAATGGGGATGTAGCTTATGACAGAATGTTTGCCTAGCATAGCTGATTCCCAGTAACATAGCAAAATAAAGTAAGAAGCCAGGCAGTGGTGCCACACTCCTTTAATCCCAACACTCGGAAAGGCAGAGGCAGGTGGATTGCTGTGAGTTCGAGGCCAGCCTGATCTACAGAGTGAGTTCCAGGACAACCAAGGCTACACTGAGAAACCCTGTCTCAACAAACAAAGAAATGAAGATTAAAAGTAACATATATATACCAAGTATGGTGTCATGTGCCTTTAATCCCAGCACTTGGTAGGCAGGAACAGATGGATCTCTGTGAGTTTGGGGCGAACGAACCTGGTTAATGTATGTATGTGTGTATGTCAGTATGTATGTGTACATATGTGTGTGTATATATGTATGTACATATATTCTTTAAATAAAGAAGTAAAGAATCTCAGATAACTTAGGCTGGCGTCAAACCCACTTGGTAGCCAAGGATGACCTTGACTCCTGATCCTTCTACCTCCCCCTCCAAAGCACTGACACCATACCCAGCCTGATTTTTTCATAAAATGAATTGTCTTTTCTCTGCCTAATGTCTTTTCTCTGCTGCTGTATGTTTCTGTTTAAGGAAGATACGCTACGGCCTCTACCACTCTCTCTTGGAGTGGTTCCATCCACTCTACCTACTCGATAAGAAAAATGGCTTCAAAACTCAGCACTTTGTCAAAGCAAAAACAATGCCGGAGCTGTACGACCTCGTTACCCGGTAAGAAGCGGGTGGTCAGGGCTGCCGGCTTGTGTTGGTGTCAGAGCTGGCCTGTAGGATGCTGTTAAGGGCTCCAGTCAAGGCTGCTGTATGAAAAAGCAGAAGACTCCAAATAATAAAAAGGGTGCTGACATTGGTTCAGAGTCTGTTTCCTTCCCAGCTCTCGGAACTTCTGGATGGTGGTCACGTACTAAACTGCCCTCCTGCTGGTCCATTTACCTGCTTTCCTCAAGTTACTTGTGGGAGCTTCTTTGTCCCCACTCTCATTTTATAGATTTTGTTTTTGTTATTATATCTGTTTTTCTTTCTTTCTCTTGATTTCCTTCAGACAGGGTTTCTCTGTGTAGTCCCAGCTGTTCTGGAACTCATTCCGTAGACCAGGCTGGCTCAAACTCAAGAGCTCCATCTGCCTCTGCTTCCCAGGTGCTGGGAGGCATGTGCCACCATGCCCAGAAGTTTTCCTTTTTATCCCACTTTGTAGCCCAGCCTGGCTTCAGATCCATGTTAATGCTCCTTTCTCAGCCTCTGAAGTGTGAGGATTTCAGGCCTGAGCCACTGGAGGTCTTCCTTGGTAGTCTATGCTGGCCTCTGATTCCAGGCTGTCCTCCTGCCTCGCCGCCTGAGTGATAGGACTGCAGCCATGAGCCGCTGTCCCCAGCCTCCAGTCAGCTGCCCTCATCTGGCTCTAACCAGATGACTCTCGGGGAACTCTGCTGGCAAAACCCTGCAGAGGGCTGGTTAGGTGCTGGCCAGGACTGCTGATTTGAAATCGTTTAGTTTTGGGTTTGTTGTGGTTTTTCCCCCTCTTTTTTCTTTTTCTTTTTCTCTCCCCTTCCTTCCCTCTCTTCTCTCCTTCCTCTTTCCCTCCTCCTTCCATAGCCTTATTATCTAGCCTTGGCTGGTCTCAGACCTCTAGCGGTCCTGCCGCCTCGGGACTTCCTGAGTCCAGGACTTATAAGTATGCGCCACTGCCCCTGTTCTAGGCTGTGTGGCTTAGAGCAAATTGCTTGGTCTCCCTCACTCTCCTCTCTGTCCCGGAACTGGGCTTAGTGATCATGGAAGCTGAGGATGTAATGGACATATGCTGCCTAGGGCACACGGCCGCACACAGTGAGAGAGACTGCTGTCTCGGGTTCCAGCTGGACTTCATAAGGCTTTCTTCTGGAGACCATCGCTGGCCTCGTTGTGGAGTGCAGGGAAGGCCTGTCTTCGGGCTGGCTCACACTTGTGCTCACTTCCTTCTTATATTCAAGCCTCATCGAACTCTTGGTACTAAAGTGTGCACGGTAATGCTTGTCTTGGACCTTCACCTTTATACATGCCTAAGCGGCTCAGAACATTGCTAATGGGGAAAGTGCACTAGGCCCCAGCAGGCTTCTCCAGCCAGACTGGGCGGCTGCCAAGAATAGACCAGTGCATGGTTCAAACGTTTACAACACCCATAAAGCAGAAACCCTTACTTTGTACCTCTAGAGTACCAGGGGCTCACTGTGTAGCCCAGGCTAGCCTCTAATTTGTAATCTCCTAACTCAGGCTCCCAAGTGCTAGGATTACAAGCATGAGCCACCACACAGCTTTTTTGTTGTTGTTGTTCTGGGGACAGGACACGGGTCTTCATGCCGGGCAGTGCTCTACCACTGAGCTACACACCCCAGGCCGCAAGCACTGTTTTAATCACATTTTTTGAATTTTGTGTCTAAGAGTACACACGTGGAGGTCAGAGAACAACCTAGGAAATCGGGTCTCCTTCCTGGTGGGTTCTGGGGATCAAACTCGGGCCATGAGGCTTGGCACAGGCAGCGCTACCAGCTCATCTGAGCCACCCGGCCTGCCCAAGCACCAATCTCTTTTCCAAAACGAATTTATTATTTATGTGTAGTTTCTATGCACCATGGGCAGCAGGTGCCCGAGGAGGCCAGCGAGCGTCATCGAAATGAGAGTTAACGGTGTTTGTGAGCTGCCATGCGGATGCTGGGAGCCAACCCCAGTGCTCTGCATGATGTAACCTCTGAAAGGGGTAACAGGAGGTTAGGGGAGATACAGCTAAGTGCGGCGATTCTTCATTATTACCACCACGTTTTAATGGATTCCGGATGTGTGTGCACGCGTGTGCCGCATGTGCGTGAGTGTGCCTGCAGAGGTCAGGAGCAGGTGCGGGAGTCCGCTCTCTTCCCGACACCTGGGTCCCAGGGGCTGAACTCAGAGTGTAAAGCCTGGCACCTGCTTGCCTTTATACCCCAGCCATTTCAGCAACCCCCCTTTTGTTTTTTTGTTTGTTTTTGATACAGGGTTTCTCTGTGTAGCCCTGGCTATCCTAGAGCTCACTCTGTAGACGAGGCTGGCCTCAAACTCACAGAGAGCCACCTGCCTCTGCCTCCCGAGTGCTGGGAGTAAAGGCGTGTGCCACCATGGCAGGCTCCAGTTCTCTTTTCATTAAAGTTTTTACTTTATATGTATGGGTGTTTTTCCTGCATGTTTGTCTATGCTCTACCTGTATGCCTGGTGCCAACAGAGGCCAGAAGAAGGGCTCAGTTCCCAGGGGACTGGAATGTAGATGATTGTGGGTACAGGGACTCAAACCTTTGTCCTCTGGAAGAGCAGCCAGTGCTTAACTCCTGAGCTAGCTCTTTACGCCCTCCCCCTAAGGCTCTTTAAAACAATGCCTGTGATAACAGAAAACTACTTCTCACCTCTTTACTTTCTGCATTGGGGTTTTTATGATCCTTTCCAGTCAGGGGTCTCTTCTTTCTGATGGGCTAGAAAGGAGCCCATGGCCTCATGTGGAGTAGGCAGCTGCTCTCCACAGAGCCTCACTGCCAGCTCCAAGTTTTAAATGTTGATTGCAAAAATCTGTCGGAAAGACTGGACTATGTACAGATTTAGACAGCAGACTGTCCTGGTCACATGTCTTCCAGCTACAAGCCTGACCTGATCTGGTCTGATGGGGAGTGGGAGTGTCCTGATACGTACTGGAACTCCACAGGTTTCCTTGCTTGGCTCTACAACGACAGCCCTGTCAAGGTAGGTGATTACCTAACTTACCCAAGAGAGTACGAGGGGGCATGGTGATACTTAACCACAGTCTTAGCTATCAGTGGGCCGTGGCAGGGGCAAGTCGCAGCAATTCTCCTGCCTCAGCTTCCCAAGAGCTAGGCTTATTATGGGTGTATGGCACCACTCCTAGCTTTTTATTCAAGGTGTTTTTTTTTTTTTTTTTTAAGATTTATTTATGTATACAATGTTCTGCCTGCATGTACACCTGCATGCTGGAAGAAGATACCGGATCTCATTATAGATGGTTGTGAGCCACCATGTGGGTGCTGGGAATTGAACTCAGGACCTTTGGAAGAGCAGCCAGTGCCCTTAACCTCTGAGCCATCTCTCCAGCCCTATATCTAAGTTTTAAAGGGTACTTAGCTAACAAAACCTTTCCCGTAGTTGGTACAACTAGCTGGTACACAGGCTGCCCATTTACCCCTTGAGTGATGGGACTTACTGAGTGGCAGAAGTCTTAATCTTTTTTTTTTTTTTCTTTTGGTTTTCCAAGACAGGGTTTCTCTGTGTAGTCTTAGGTGTCCTGGACTTACTTTGTAGACCAGGCTGGCCTAGAACTCACAGAGATCCACCTGCCTCTGCGGATTACAGGCAAGTGCCAACGCGCCTGGCCAAAGTCTTAATCTTTATGATAGAAAATGTCAAACATTTTACATGTTCTAGATTTGTAGATTTTAGGGAAAAATCTCAGTATAAAACAGTGTGGGCTGGGTGGTGATGGAGTATGCCTGTAAGCCCAGCACTTAAGAGGCAGAGGCAGGCAGATCTCTGTGAGTTCCAGGATGGCCAGAGCCACACGGAGAAAGTGTGTTTGGAGGAAAAAAAGGAAAAACAAGGAACAGCTTGAGAGCTGGAAGTGTGGGGTGTGAGAGAACATGTGCGAATGCCTGGAGCCTGGGCTTGATCCCAAAAACCAACGCTGAGCTCCGGTGAAGGTGCCCTGTGGGTTCCTGTCTGTGGGGGTCTTGCTGAACTCGGAAGATGGGAAGAAAGGAAAGAGAAAAGGCACCCTGAGTGATGAGTGCTGGGGGAAGGCAGTCCCCATGTGCTGGAGTGAGGCTCACTGGTGAGCTTGCTAACAGCATATCCAAGGTGTGGTTTGGGGACACTTGCCAAGTCTCTGGGGCCTCCTGGATGTGCACTTGATCCCCAGGCAGTTAACGCTGGCCAAATACCATGGTCTGAATTGACCACATTTGTCTCCTCTATAAGTCTCTGCTAAATGTTTAAAGGGCAAATACTGTTATCCACCAGGGCATCCCTGTCTCTGCCACAATTAAACGCAGTTATGGATGAGCATATGACTGCCAATCACAACTTGCTATGAGCCAGGTAATGTGGTTCGTGCCTTTAATCATGACACTCAGGTGGATTTCTGTAAGTTCAAGAACAGCCTGATCTACACAGGGAGTTTTCAGGCCAGCCATGGCTACATGGTAAGATTCTGTCTCAAGAAATAAAATGGGGCTGGAGGGATGGCTCAGAGGTTAAAAGGACTGGCTCATCTTCCAGAGGTCCTGAGTTCAATTCCCAGCACCCACATGGTGGCTCCCAACCATAGCGAAATCTGGCACCCTCTCTTGGCATGCAGGTGTATATGCAGACAGAGTATTCATACATAAAATAAATAGTCTTTTTTTAAAAAAGAAACAAACAAATAGATTAACTTAGGAAGGTTGGCATCTCATACGCGTCTGAGGTACCTTTCCTCCAGACTGTGCCTTCATGGAGCCAGGTCGTGCGCTGCATGAAATGACAGCCACATGTGCCTGGTTAAGGAGAATCAGAAAAGAGGGAAAAAGGTAAACAAAGGTACAGAGCTGGGGAAGGAAGCACATGTCAACCACAACTATTTAAAAACCACAGCAAGGGCTGGGAGAGGGCTCAGTGGTTAAAGCCGGGACTGCTCTCGAGTTCCCTTCCCGGCAAACTCCAGTGAACCGGAAGCAGGCACCCTCCTCTGGCCTTGGGTACCGCACACATGTGCACTGACATACACACAGGCAAAACACCCACACACATTTTTTGTGGTGTGCTTATTATAAGTGCGTGTGTGTGTGCCTGTGTAAGTTTCTGTGTACTGTGTGCATGCAAAAGCCCAGAGGCCAGAAGAGGACTCCAGCTGTCCTGCACCTGGGGTTGCAGGTGGTCACGAGTCACCGTGTGGCGCCGGGGAACAAGTCCAGGTCTACTTCCGATTCAGTGAGTGCTCCTAACCTCTGAGCCGTCTCACCAGACCCCCGCAAACATTTTTTTAAAGATTAGATTAGGTTGTTTATGGGTATATGTCATGTTGTGGTGTGTGAGTGTTTTACCTGCATGAACCATGTATGTACCAGAGCCAGTAGAGGTCAGAAGAGGGTGTTGGCTCTCCTGGGACTGGAGTTACAGGCAGTTCTGAGTCACCGTGTGGTGCTGGGGGCTGCACCCACAGCTTTTGTGAGAGCATCAGGCACTCTTAGCTGACGAGCCGGCTCTCCGGTCCCATACCACTGAGTGCCCCCTGAGTGCTAGAGAGTCCTCATGCTCCCACAGCAAGCACCTCACCACTGAGCCATCTCCTGAGCCCCCCAGACCATCAGTGAACCCACCCCCTATGTGCACACCTACTCCCGGCATCCCTCGGCTGGCCTCTGGGCTTGGGCGCTGGTGACTTTAGGGGATGATGCTGCTTTGAGGTAGACATTGTCCATCTCTGGCCTCTCCCGCTAGATAGCAGCACCACCCCCATCGGGACAGCCAAAAGTGTCTAGTTTCCCGCGTGTGCCCCTGAGAGCAGCATAGCTCCAGGGGGAGAACACGAGTGCAGTCCCGCTGTTCCTCCTTCCAGAGAGACTGCTGCCAGATGGGTCTGCACTGCGTGAAGGAGCCAGGGGCTGCTCTTCCGCTGACCCGGTTCCCTTCCTCCTCTAGGATCAGGTGGTAGTGAATGACCGGTGGGGCGAGAACTGCTCCTGTCATCACGGAGGGTACTACAACTGTCAGGACAAATACACACCGCACAGCCTGCCAGACCACAAGTGGGAGATGTGCACCAGCGTGGACAGGGCGTCCTGGGGCTACAGACGCGACATGACCATGTCTGCGGTTGCCAGTGAGGATGAAATCATTAAGGTCAGAGCACTGGGCCCTAGCTGTCTGCTCACCGCAGATCAGCCCTCTAACCCGGAGTCCAGTTGGAAGAACCTGCCAGCGCTGCAGTATGCGGAGACAAAACCTCTCCCAAGGGCATTGCCACTATCATGGGGGAAGGGGTTGGGACTTTGAAACCTTTTGTTGTTTTTTTTTTTTTAATTTTTAAAAATTTTATTAATTACAGTTTATTCACTTTGTATCCCAGCTGTAGCCCCCTCCTCCATCCCCTCTCAATCCTACCCTCCCTCTCTCTTCTCCTATGCCCCTCCCCCAGTCCAATGATAGGGGAGCTCCTCCTCCCCTTCCATCTGACCCTAGTCTATCAGGTCTCATCAGAACTGGCTGCATTGTCTTCCCCTGTGGCCTGGCAAGGCAGCTCCCCACTCAGGTGGAGGTGATCCACAAGCCAGCCCATGAGTTCATGTCAGAGATGGTCCCTGGTCCTATTATTGGGGAACCCTCTTGAATACTGAGCTGCCTTGGGCTATTTCTGTGCAGGGGTTCTAAGTTATCTCCATGCATGGTCCTTGTTTGAAGTATCAGTCTCAGAAAAGACCCCTGTGCCCAGATTTTTTGGTTCTGTTGCTCCCATTGTGGAGCCCCTGTTCCCTCCAGGTCTTTCTATCTCCCCCTTCTTTCATAAGAGTCCCTGTACTCTGCCTGGAGTTTGGCTATGAATCTCAGCATCTGCTTTGATACCCTGCTGGGTAGAGTCTTTCAGAGTCCTTCTGTGATAGGCTCCTCTCCTGTTCCCCTGTTTTCCAATGTTCGTCTCATTTGCCTTTTTAAATTACATCTGTTTATTTGTTGGGGATGGGGCAAGTGTGTGCCACAGTGTACATGTGAAGTCAGCAGACAGCTTGACAGTCACTTCTCTCCTTCCTCCCTGTAAGTCCTGAGGCTCAAACTTAGGTCACTCATCTTGGTGACAAGGGAACTTGTAGAGTCCTGACCTTCGCCATCTTCTTAGCCTCAGGGAAACCTTCATCTACAGAGATGCTCTTCCCAGAACTTAACCCCCTTTTTCTCTCTTTGTGGTGCTAAGGATTAAACCCAGGGTTTTCCTTCTCTTAATATCCATTACTGTCTGTTTGTTGTAGACACTGTCAGGCTTGGTAGTCATGCCTCAGCTTTCATTGTTTCTGCCTTCTTTAGGAGTTGGTTCAGACTGTAAGTCTGGGAGGCAACTATCTTCTCAACATCGGACCAACTAAAGAGGGACTGATCATTCCCATCTTCCAAGAAAGGCTTCTTGCTGTTGGCAAGTGGCTGCAGATCAATGGGGAGGCCATCTATGCCTCCAAACCCTGGAGGGTGCAGTCCGAAAAGAACGGGACAGTTGTGTGGTGAGCCTTGCCTTCCTGTGTGGACAGGAGAATGACTGATGATAGCCATATTGTCAGTTCTCAGGGAAAGTAATCCAAAGGAAAGAATAAATAGCAAGAGACAGCTGATAGATGGATGGATGGATGGATGGATGGATGGATAGATGGATCCATGGCAAAATGTCATCAAACTGAGTACTTAAAAAAAAAATCCAACAGATCATATGGGGAAGCCCTTTAAGGCTAGAGTTCCAGTTAGAGGGTCCCAGGAAGAGCATAGTGAGAGGTCTAACTAAACAAGAGCAATGAAGTAATGTCATCGCTCTGAGGCTCACAAACACCCAGCAGAAATCATCTTGGGGAAGTTGAGGCAGTCAGCCAGAATGAGGCAGAGCAGCGAGCACACAGCTAGGGCTCCCAGGCGAAAATCAGCAGATAGCAGCCGAGAAAGAAAATGTCATCAAAGCAGGGCCCCACAACATCCAGGAGAAACACACTGGGGAAGCTAGGCCCATCAGCTGGAATGCCAGAAGTGCTTTCTCTCCCAGGATGAGCTGCCCATCCCTGAACCTCTGTCTGGCTTTCTGTTCCCCCTGGGGATAGACAATGGGAGCTCTGTTGGAGATGGCTGGCCTAGCTGTTCTCAAAGACTCAGGGGGTTTTGCTCTTGTTTTGTTTGGCTGTTTCCCTTCCTGACACTGGGGTGAGGGGTGTGTTAGAACCCAGCAGAGTGCCAGGCCGGAGCTCAGTGTCCTGTCAAAGGAGACTGGTGCCAGGACAGAGCGCCTTGCTCTTCCAGGGGCCACATTAATCCCTACGGATAAATTTCCCGTGAGGCGGTTTTCATCCTGTTTCCTCAACATGCTGACCGCTCAGGCAGTGAGTGTGTCACCATCTTGTATGCTCCACCCTCTTGTTTTCTCGTGGATCTGGAGATTTCAGTCACAAGTTGTGTGGCCTCAGCTCCTAATAAGAGGAAGTAGCTGGGAAACGCACGTGTTTTGTTGGTGCTGTGTGGGTCATGGCCTCAGCGTGTTACATAGGGAGTCTTCCAACTTCTGGGGACAAGCTGTCCTCTTGTCTCTGCCTCCTTTGTAGCAGGGATTATATGTGTGCGTCACCATACCCAGCACAAGCTCTGTGATGTTTGTTTGTTTGTTTTGAGGCATGGAACTCTGTGTAGACCAGGCTGGACTTGAACCCACAGATGGGTACCTGTGTCTACTCTTCCTGAGTAGTGCTGGATTAAAGGTGTGCACTACCATGCCTGGCTTTTTTTTTTTTTTTTTTTTTTTAAGGCAGCAAACAAAGGTTATTGAGGCAGCAGAAAAAAGTCTGGAAAATTAATTGCCAGAGGGTTAATTTTAATTTTTTAAAGAAACTGTGACACCCTGGTGAAGGTGGATCATAGGGGATTTAAGACAGTTCTCTAGACCCCTGCTTCCCGAACACCTTACTGGCTTCCTAGTAGTCCGGACAAGCATGAGGTCTTTAGTGGGTGAGCTCTGTGAGGGGGATGTGAGGGCCGGTCAGGAAATACCTGGCCTCACCGTGGGCAATGATGTTTTTTTATCCCCAGGTACACCACTAAAGACTCAGCTGTTTATGCTACCTTCCTGTACTGGCCAGAAAATGGGATCATAAGCCTCAAGTCCCCCAAAACTTCCTCGGCCACAAAGGTAAGAAGGCTCATTCAGTCTCTCCTAAGCTTTAACTTGTCCTGTTTTGGTTTTCATTTTTCCAGCGCCGAAAATAGACCCCAGGGCCCAGGCACGCTTAGGCAAACCCTGTACGCTGAGCTGCACCCCCACTGTCCTGTTTGTTTGTTTGAGCCAGGTTCTTTTTGTGTAGCTCAGGCTAGCCTCAACCAGTGGTACTCCTGTCTCCGCCTTCCCAGTACTAGGATTCCAGCTTGTGCCCGCGTGCCTGGAAGACAGAGCTTTTATGAGCAGGAATGACAGGCTTCTGCCCCTTGCTTCCCCAGGTTCCTTCCACATGTGTGTCCCACCAGACTGTGCTCACTGCTCTGGTCCCACTCATTTGTTCCCCAGCATGTATGTAGCAAACATCTGCCCATCAGCGAGTAACTGGGTGCTGCACCCCCCCTTTGCCTTCCGCAGATAACGATGCTCGGAACAGAGGGAGAGTTGAACTGGACCCAGGACCCCCAGGAGGAGCTTGTGATCTCTCTGCCCTCTCTGCCATCCACTGCTCTCCCGGTGCAGTTTGCCTGGACTCTAAAGCTGACAGACGTGAAGTGATCCGGGGACAGACCACCCCCGTCAGCTGCTTCCCTTTCCTCTAACAGGACCAACAGTGCAATAAAGTCGCTTCCTTTCCCCACCCCATGATGGCTTTTCCAGCCCATTTTAGTCAATGGGAACCTGGTATACCATGCTGCCTAATGAATGGATTGAAGATGGGAAAGCCATTGCTGGCGCCTCTGGTGAACAAAAAGGCCTCGAGCTCATCAGCCGAACTCAGCCACTCCTTCCCTAGGATGAATTTCCCTCTGTTCTCTGCTGACCTACCTTATAGTGAGCCAGTTAACCCATTGCCTGTGGGAGCAGGTCAAAGAGGTTTGGCAAACTCAACCCCCTGTGCCTTATAGCATTGTCACTAGTCCTGCAGGGACTAACCTGATCCCACAGGGCTTGCCAGGCTGCGGCGGTCATCTCTTCAAAGTTTGCGAAGGAAGGCGAAAGCTCCAACGTTCAGCATATCTTCAGAGACAGAGATGAGAGAGCATGATTCTGCCTGCCTTTAGAAAAAGATGGAAGAAAATTTGTATGTCAGATTGTTTCTACCAAAAGCATGTGATAAAACTCTCTTTCCCTAGCTTCGGTTCCAGTTGTTTGCAGCTTCACACTCATTTTCTGGGGGTGGAGGGTGGCCCGGAGGTAGAGCTCACTTGGTACCATGCTTGCCTGGCATACACAGAGCCTGGGGTTCAGTCCCTGGCACTGTATAAACCAGGTGTGGTATGCATGCTCCGGTCCAGCAGGAAGGTCAGAAGTTACTCATGCCTGACTATATAGTGAGCTCAAGGCTATCCTGGGCTATTCATGACCCTGTCCAGAGAAGGGAGGAGGAGAGAACTTGCTGGGTCTTCTTAATGCAGAACAAAGAGTCTGACTTCTGTGGGTTTTCTCTTTACTCTGGTGCCATCCTATGACAACTACCAGCCAGGTATTCCGGTGCCTGTTTGCATGTGTGTGTATATGGGCTCTAGAAGGCCAGGAGGGGGCATTGGGTCCTCTGGAACTAGAGTCACAGATAGTTGTGAGGTGTCATGTTGATGCTGGGAACTAAAATCTGGAAGAACAGCCAGTGTTCTTAACCACTGAGCCATCTCAGCAGCCCTGCCCCAGGCCCCTAGCTCCCTACCCCCACAGACAGGGTTTCTGTATAGCCCTGGCTGTCCTGAAAATCACTCTGGACCACACTGGCCGCAAACTCAGAGATCCACCTGCCTCTGCCTCCTGGGATTAAAGGTGTGTGTCATCACTACCCGATTCCCTACTTTTTTCTTTAATATGTACATTTAGAATTCTTTGCTCTACTTTTAAGTAATGTTTTTCTCAAGCATGTATGCAACACTTAAAATCTCATGTATCCACAGTGAGGTGGCTCAGTGGTTAGGAGCACTTTCTGCTTATTTCCTGGCACCCCCAATAGTTGACCTTCAACCTCCAGTTCCAGGGCATCCAACGCCTGGCCATCCATCGCCTGGCCTATGGCCTGGCTACATGCTGCATACTCACACAGACACAAATAGAAAAATGAGATTTTTTTTTTTTAACTCTCAAATAGGACTAGAGAGATGGCGCAGCTGTTAAGAACACTGGCTGTTTCTCCAGAGCACTCGGCTTTGTGCCCAGCAACCACACAGCGGTTTACAACTATCCTAACTCCAGTGCCGAGAGATTCAAAGCCCTCATCATGCCTCCGCCGGTGCTACACGCACTTGGTACTCAGATTTACATGCAGACAAGACACTCATAAAAACTGGAAAAACAAACAAACAAAAAAACCCAACTATCTGGGCTGGCACCGTGGCCCAGCTGGTGAAGGTGCTTGCTGCTAAGCCTGACAGCTCTAGTTCAGTTCCTGGGCCCCACCCAGTGGGAAGAGAGCCAGCACCCTCAAGTTGTTCTCTGGCTTTCATGATCACACGCTGGCGTGTTTGTAGGCACCTGTGTGCGCATAAAGGAAATAAATGTGAAATGCTTTTTGATTGAAAAAGAATAGAACACCAAAAAACAGTGCCACATAGCCTGTACAGGGTGTCACAGCATAATTTTGGATATTATGAAACACAATATAGAGATGCTTGAAGTCCTCCAAGGAAAATCTTCAGTGTTTAGTCTCACTGGACCCATGGTGCTCTTTTGAATTTGTTTTAATTTATTAATTTATTCACTTTACATCCCAATCGTAGACCCCTCCCACCTCTCCTTCCCACCCTTGTTTTGTTTTTTAAGCCATTTTTTTCCGAGCAGGGTTTTTCTGTGTAACCCTTGCCATCCTGGAATTCACTCTGTAGACCAGGCTGGCCTCGAAATTCACAGAGATAACCCTGCCTCCTCTGCCTCCCGAGTGCTGGGATTAAAAACATTTTATGTCCTTAATTACGCTGTGAAACCTTGTGTAGGATGTGTAGCACTGTTTTTTGATTTATTATTATTATTTTTTTAATGAAGTACTTTGCGTTAAGAGTAAAGAAATTAGGAAAGCCAGATATGGTGGCACAAGCCTTTAATCCCAGTACTGGGGAGGCAGAGGCAGGCAGAGCTCTGTGGGTTTGAGGCCAGCCTGGTCTACAAATGGAGTCCAGGACAGCCACTGCTATTACACAGAAAAACCCTGTCTCAAAAAACAACAAACAAAAAAACCCAAACAAGGAGAAAAGAACAATCCATAAAAAGTAGAAGGAAATTACAGAAACCAAAGGAACAGGACACAAGAATGAGAAACAGGAAAAAAAAAAAAGAAAGAATGAGCAACAGGAGTAAAGTGTTTTTGGTTTTTTGTTTGTTTGTTTTGTTTTTCTTTTTAAGATTTTATTTATTATGTAGACAATGTTCTGCCTGCATGTGTGCCTACTGGTCAGAAGAGGGCACCAGATCTCATTATAGATGGTTGTGAGCCACCATGTAGTTGCTGGGAATTGAACTCAGGACCTCTGGAAGAGCAGCCAGCTTCAGCCCCTAGCAACATGGCCTGGAAACACTAGGCCTTTCAGAAGGCAGATAAACGGACTTGGGCTAGGAACTGGCTGTGGTTTAAGGCACGGTGGGGGGGGGGGGGGGGGGTGTGGGGAGAGCAGGTAGAGAGGAAGTTCTCAAGTTCTCGGAACCTGTACACAAGCACACGAGCTGTAAGACCTGGAGTCTCACTACTCAGGATCGCGCCCTTCCCAGAAACTCTCACAGACCACAGCTCGATGCAAAAGCAAGAGGTTTATTGCTATCGCGATAGGATCGCCCCTCCAAAGACAGGAGACGACCCCGAACGTGCAAAGCACAGGGCTTTTATACCTGAAAAATCAGACCACGTTTGCTCTATAGTTTACAGCTGGTTGTAGCTGGTTTACAGCTGGTTGTTTCTCAGAACAGTTCACCCTGCCCTTCAAGAGCTCTCTGCACCTGGCTTCAATTCAAATAATCACAGTTCTTTCTCATTCCCAGGTGGTCCCTCAGAGCTTGTGCAAATATCCAGACTCTTTGTGGTGAGGGCTATGATCTGAGGGCAGAGCTTTCAAACACTTGCAAGGGCTCAAGAGAAGAGACAAATTTGTTGTGCAAGTCCTGAAGGTAACCCAGGTCACCGTTATCTTCAGAATGACCCACGTGTCAGCAGTGTCACCTACAGCAAAGCCACCAGGACACCAACAGGATACTGCTTGGCTGCATTCCTGCCCCCTATTCATGTTTTCTCCCTCCTCCCTTCCTACTGCTGCCCATCAACCCTTCCTCTGCCCCTCCCGCCCCCTCCCTCTCCCACTCTCTCACAAGGTAACCCAAGGCTGAGAAACACTCATTCCTCCTCCCTCAGGCTCCAGAGTGCTTGGGCCTCTTTTCCACTAACACGGCCCCTAGTAGGAATGCAGTTTTGTTTTCCATAAAGGTCTTGTGTAGCCCAGGTTACGTGTGACGCCATGGCCAGCTCTGCTTTAATTTTGCAATGCAGTCTGACGTTATCCGTGCTATTGCGGGTAGGCTGAGGTTGAAAGCACAGGTGAGTGCCCGCATGTGTGTGCCCAGGTGCTCTGGCCCATGTGCGCACAGGTGGAAACCAGCGCTCAATATCAAACGTCTTTTTTTTTTAATGTCAGGGGTCTTCATCTGTTGCTCTCCACTTTACTTTCGGAGAGACGGTTTCCCACTGAACCTGGAACGCATCGTTCTGGCTAGACTCACTGCCCTGAAAGCCCAGGCATTCCCATGCCCCAGCACGGGGTTACAGGCGTGTGCTGTCGTGCCCTGATCTTTTGTGGGGCCTATGGGTCCAAACTCAGGTCTTCATGCTGGCAAAGCAAACACTTTACCGTCAAACGGTCTCCTTAACACTCAGAGTCCCTTCTGAGTGTCTCAGACCACAGGCATTGACCGCAGCACCCAGTAAGTTTTTCTGACTGGGCTGGAGAGGTGGCTCAGTGGTTGAGAACACTGGCTGTTCTTCCAGACGTCCTGCGTTCAGTTCTCAACAGCTCACAACCGCTCCAGCAGTGCACGCTCCCACAGGCAGGCACTCACGCCTTCGTGTAATTAAAAGTCGTGATTTTATGAATTTTTAATTTCTTTTTTTTTTTTTTTTTTTTTTTCTAGACCAGGTTTCTCTGTGTAGCCTTGGCTGCCTGGACTCACTTTGTAGACTAGACTGGCCTCGAGCTCACAGAGATCCGCCTGCCTCTGCCTCCCAGAGCCTATAGGCGTGTGCCAGCACCACCCAGCACCATACAGTGTCTCTACCTCGGGGTCTCACTGCATTTGTATTCAATTTGTCTGATGAACTTAAAAAATATGTTTTTATTGTTGCTGGTTTGGGGTTTGTTAGTTTTGCTTTTTGAGATGGGAATCTCTCTACTCTCTGAAGTGCTGGCTGTCCTGGAGCTCCTCCTGCCTCTGCCTTCCAAGTGCTGAGACTAAAAGCATGCGCTGTATCAGGCACCTTGGGCTGTGCAGAAACCACTGTCCCCAGGGAGTCCTTTTCACCAGCCCAACAATTCTGCTAATTCCTGAGGCTTTTGGTCTGCTGGTGTCTTCTTTTTCGTAAACTCTTCACCTGAATAGCTCTTACTCCAAGTATCCATCCAAGCAGCATTTCTCTAAAGCTGACACTGTCTGAAGATTGTGTTATACACTTACTGCATGCAGAAAACTCAGAAGGCAGTAGAAAATGGGTGTACTGCAGCTTATCTTGAAAGTTAGGTGCTAACCAGCTCTCTCCATACCTCTCAGACTCTATACCCAGGGAGAGAGACTTTGACTGCATTTATCTATTTGTTGTTTTGTTTTGTTCTGTTTTTTCCTTTGGTTGGATTTGGTTTTTGGCGACGAGACCTGTCTATGAAGCTGTGACTGGCCTGGACCTTGTTCTGTGGACCAGGCTGGCCTCAGATTTGGTGCAGTCCTGTCACAGCCTCCGGAGCGCTGGGACCGCAGGTGTGTGCCACCATAACGGGCTGAAGTTTTTATCCATCATTGCGGTCCCTGCTCCCCGCTTTGTGTCGGTGTTAGAGTTGCCTAGAAAACCTGCAAGGTGTGGTAGCTCGTTCCCGTCAACATCTGAGAAACTGAGGCAGTAGCATTGCCATGAGTTCAAGGACAACCTGAGTGATATGGTCTACATCATATCGGAAAGCCCAAACCAAAACCAAACCACGTTAAACGGAGAATAACCCAGTCGGGAAGGAAAACACTAGCAGGCTGGGGGTTGGAGCCAACGCTGGGAGCCGCGCGTCACTCACGAGTCTCCGCCCCAGGCCTGGGCCACGCAGAGCTCTCGGCGGTCACGTGGGACCCAGCGAGGCGGACACTTGAGACTGCAGGCCAAGATGGCGACAGTGAGACGGGTTTTCCCGCGGAGGCTAGCGGGCTTGGCGTCCCTCCGGGCTGTAAGTTCCCCCTGCGGGCGACAGTCGGGGGGTCGGGGGTGCCTCGTCAGCTGCTGCGACAGGCGAAGCGGGGCAGCTCCAGGGGCCGGCGCCGAGAGGGTTTGAGAGTTCGGGACCCAGCCGGTCTGGTTCAGATCCCTTGCAGGAAAGGGGAAGCCGAGGCCAGGGGACGTGAAGCGACCCGCCGTCACTATGGAGACCTAGGACATCCTCATTCCCTCACAGGCACACACAGGCAGTTGTGAGCTGCCAGGCGCGGGCGCTGGGAACTGAACGTAAGAACATCAAGTCTCTCCTTCCTGTAACTGAGTTTCGGATCTCTCCAGCCCTTCATTAGTGGGAAACACGTCCCGCGTGGAAAAAGCAAAAGCAAGGCACTCGGCCGCCTTCCCCAGGTCCTGTTGCTTTTCTAGACGCCTGGACCGTGGGGGATTCCTCTGAACCGTACTTTGGGCCTGTTCGATCCTGGTGTTCTGTCCTCTCCCACGCGCAGTGGGAGGGGAAGGGAGGGAAGGGGCCAAAGAGCTGTGCTGGTTAAAGCGCAAACCGACGTCCGGATGATCCTGCCACTTTGTAGGTTGACCGAGACGTTCACTCAGCTTGCTTACATGTAAAATGGATAGCTCTGTCTCGGGGTGATTTGGTGAGTGAGCATTGGTGGCACTTACACCCTCAGCTCAGTGATGGCGTAGTTATGATTTGCTTTTACTAATTTTATTCCCTGTGCATTGGTAAAAGGTGTCAGAATCCCTGGAACTGGAGCTACAGACAGCTGTGAGCTGCCTCGTGGGTGCTGGGAATTGAACCTAGGACCTTTAGAAGGGCAGGCAGTGCTCTCAACCACTGAGCCATTTCCCCAGCCCCCGATGTTAGGATTTTGTGTTGGGGAGCCGAGGCATTGTCTCAGTACTTGGGAACGCTACACTTTCTCTGCAGCTCGTGGGTATCTCTCAGAAAACCACTTCTGTATCTTCGCTCTAACCACCTCCACCGATTGCCCAGGGATCACATGAAAATGCCAACTCCAACTTCAGAAGTTCAGAAAATAAACGTTTCAAAAGTCTTGTTGTACACCAGGTGAATCCCAGCACTCGGAGGCAGAGGCAGGTGGACCTCTGAGCTGGAGACCAGCCTGGTCTACAGAGTGAGTGAGTTTCAGGACAGCCAAGGCTACTCAGAGAAACCCTGTCTTGGGGGGGAGGGGAAGACAAATGGATTATTTATTTATTTAGGACAGAGTTTTGTTTGTTTGTTTGTTTGTTTTTTAATGTATAAACTCAGGAACTCACTGTGTAAACCAGGCTGGCCTCACAGAGATCTGCTGCCCGCTGCCTCCTAAGTGCTGAGATTAAAGGCCTGTGCCACGATGCCCAGCTCTTGTTTTGTTTTGTTGTTGTGTTTTCAAGACAAGTGTTTCTTTGTGTAGCCTTGGCTGTCTTGGACCAGGCTGGCCTTAAACTCACAGCGATCCACCTTCCTCTGCCTCCCTGAGTGCTGGGATTACAGGTGTGCTCCACCAGGCCCAGCTTGTTTTGGTTTTTAATATTGGTTTGTTTTGTGTGTGTGTATGTCAGTGTAAGTGTGTGCCGTGTGTGTTCTGGTGCCTTTGGCAGCCAGCTGGAGTTACGGGCAGTTTTGAGCTGCCAGGCGCGGGTGCTGGGAACTGAACTTAAGGGCATCGAGTGCTCTTGACCGCTAAGCCATCTCTCCAGCCGTTCATGTATCTTCAAATTATATGTATTTATATATGTCTACCCGTGTGAGCACGGGTATTTATGGATGCCAGAAGAGAGCGTCAGGTAAGACCAGACTTACAGGCAGTTGTGAGATATCTGACAAGGGTCTGGGAACCCATCTCAGGTCCTCTGCAAGAGCTGTATGCACGCTCAACTGCTCAACCACCTCTTCAGCCCCTGGGATTCTTTAAACATAAGATCTCACATATGGCAGGCTGGCCTCAAGTTTACTATGTAGCTGAAGGCGACCTTGAGTTTCTGGCCCTCCTGTTTTCACCCCCCCCCCCCCCCCCCCAGTGCTAGAATTATGGGTGTGCACCACCACACCTGGGCCTAGCTGTTATGTGAATATTGTGCCGAAGGAAGTGGAACTAAGTTCAACCTATTCCAAAAAGGAAAGTTGGAAGCAGGATTTTCTTCAGCAGTTACTTACTGAGCCTCTACTTTGTCCCGGGGCCTTGGAAAGAGCAGTGAATGGCACCAAGTCTCTGGCCTGTGATGTGCACGCCCCACTGGGGTCCTTTTGGGGCAAGGTACCAGCGGGGGGCCGACAGTCTCTTTTGGAGAGAGACTGCATTGCAGGGACCTTTCACTCAGCCTGCTAACTTCTTGGTTTTTTTGTTTTGTTTTACTTTATTATTTATTTATTTATTTTTAATTTTATGTGCATTGGTGTTTTGCCTGAATGTTTGTCTATGTGAGGGTGTCAGATCCTGGAGCTGGAGTTATAGACAGTTCTGAGCTGCTGTGTGGGTTCTGGGAATTGAACCCGGGGCCTCTGGAAGAGCAGCCAGTGCTCTTAGCTGCTGAGCTATCTCTCCAGCCCCCTGCTGACTTCTCATAATTCAGGGGCTTGTCCCCTTTGTCTGTCAGGTGAGTTGACCTATTCTAGCTGATTCCTGTCTGGGGATCAGTCGTTCTTTAAGGGCTTCATGGGCTTGGAGTCCTTGGTATATTATACCTTTCCTTTTGTCCCATTGCTGTATGTGTACTTGGGGATGGGGGTTGGAGTCTGTGGTTTAGAGTGACTGACTGCTGCTCTTCCAGTCTTGGTTCCTAGGTTCTACCTGGTGGCTCACAACCATCTGTATCCGGTCTTAAGGGATATGCTGTTTTCTTCTGGCTTACAAGGGCACCCATGTGCCATGCAGACATACATGCAGACAGATTGCCCATATATAGAACATAAATAAATAATTACTTAAACACGATTCTCTAGGTGGGTAGGGGAAGATTTGAGACAGACTTGACAGCAGGCGAAAGGCTTTAAAATTTGGGGTGGGGGATAATTTCTTCAGCTGTGGGATATGCATTTCCTTAGACCTGCTGTCCCTCATGTCATCCATCAGCCTAGAATCGGGCTTTAGACACAGCAAGGTCTTTCTCCATATCCCCTGTCACCGCTGCCGAGTCTGAGACGGACCTCTCTCGGTGCTCGGTAATTGTGCAACTCGAGAGAGAGCCATGCCCTCTATGCATTGTTTGTTGTTCCGGCGATGTTGTTGGGTGCATTGCGAGGCACAGCGCCAGTCAGGACGAGAGGGGGTGGAGAGAGACAAGGTCCCGAGCTTATATTGAAGGAAATAGGTGTAGTCTTGTGAAAACACCAGGTAGCAAAGGTGACTAGGCTCTCTGAGTGAAGTTGAGCATTGCAGGCAGAGGGCAGCTCTGCTGGACTGGAGCAGAGCAGCCTGTTGGGCAGAGAGTAGAAGCAAATGGAGCAGTAGCGGGGAGTAAGGAGGTCAGGCAGAGCCAAACCCCGCAGGGCCTCCAAGGCAGGGCGACGAGGGGAAGGGGTGAGTTAGATTTCAGCTGTGCGGCAGGGTGCTGTCTTTGGCAAGAGATAGGCAGGATGGAGTCGAGCGAGTGTTTGGACAGCACGGAGTTTGGGGGACTTCTGAATGAGAGGTGCACAAATGGAAAGCGGGTCTAAACCAGAGGCAGCATGGCTTTCTTGCTCCTTCCTGGGTAATCCTGAAAGAGCCCAGATGTGAGTTAGGTAGGAGAAGTGTGGCCGCTTTGCGGTAGCAGAGGAAGGTCCCTGTCTTCCATGTAGTCCGTGCTAAGACCTGACACTGTGTTTCCTCTTTTAAACCCCAGGCAAGCACCTCATCCATGGGTGCTTTCCCGAAGCAGGTGAAGATCGTGGAAGTCGGTCCCCGAGACGGTTTGCAGAATGAAAAGGTAAAGACGGAAGCCAGCCCAGAAAGGACAGTTAACACATCTGTTTTGAGCATTCCGGGGGAGAAGATGGGGCAGATCCATCATGGACTTTCGATAGACTGGAATCTTACCGAGCTGTTAACACAAGCACCTTAAGTGACTCGAGACTGTAGAACAGTGTATTCAACCTCACTCCTATGTAAAACCAGCAGAAGAGCTTAGGTAAATGTGGAAGTATTTACTTAGAAAGGATTGCAAAACTTTCTTAAAACAGGACTCGAGGCTGAGAATAACTTTGAAGGCGGCTCTCACACCATTAATGTGGTAGCAATAGATGTGGCTTTTGAGCACTTAAAATGTGGCGACTGAGGTGTCTGGAGACATGACTCAGTGGTTAAGGGTGCTTCCTGCTCGGAGGACCCAGGTTCAATGCCCAGTACCCACATGGTGACTTCCAACCGTCTGTAACTCCAGTCCCAGGGAAGACGATGGGATGGCCTCATGAACGGACCTCATCATGGACCTGGAATCATTAAGACTTGAAACATAATCCTACTGGTTGGCACCAAGGAGTCATGAAAGGCTATTATTATCATTGGGTTTTCAAGACAGGGTTTTTCCAGATAGCCCTGGCCATCCTTGGAACTTGCTCTGTAGACCAGGCTGGCTTCAAACTCAGAGATCTACCTTCCTCTGCCCCCCGGAGTGCTGAGGTTAAAGGCGTGCACCACCACCACCTGGCTTAAGGTGTATTTGTACTTGTGTGTGTACCTGCCCCACGCATGCAGTGCCCAGAGGCCAGAGTGGGTATGGGATCCCCTGGGGCTGAAGTCGATGGGCATTTATGAGTTGCCCGGCATGAGTACTGGCAACTAAGCATGGGTCCTCTGGAGAAGCAGCCCGGGCTCCTTACTGCCGAGCCAGCCCCACTGCTCCAGCCCCTCCCGGAGGCTTCTGGGCCAGAAAGTGAGGCAATGGAGACTGCCGTCCAGGAAGTTTCCGGCACCGGATGGGTTGCCAGAGGGAGAGCAGGCCGTACTACAGCCAGGATCTTGAGGGCAGAGTAGAAAGGAAGCAGGACGCTCTGCTGAGTGAAGCCGGGAGGGGAGGGCGTGACGTTCGGGGCTTCATCCCACGGCACCCAGAAAGCAGCGGTGATTTATCTCCACTCACTCCAGCCAGGGCACCTTGCTCTCAGCTTATGACAGGGTTGCAGACTAACACGCTGATTTTGCACAGGAGGGAAACGCTGTTTCCACGTGATTACAAACACCTCAGCTGAGCAGCCATCTCGCAGTTGGTAGAACTTGGAAAGCGTGTGTGAGCTCATGTTGGTGTCTGAAGTCCAGGCAGTGAGGATCTGGCACAGCCAAAGCTTGGGGCTGAGGTGCTGGCTGGCGAGCATGGCCGGCTTTTCCTAATAATGTTGTTGACTTGTCTTTTCTGGGTTTCTGTCTGCCCGCTACAGAATATCGTATCTACCCCAGTGAAAATCAAGCTGATAGACATGCTTTCCGAAGCAGGGCTTCCTGTTATCGAGGCCACCAGCTTTGTCTCTCCCAAGTGGGTACCCCAGGTGAGCCCAGCCTCCAGGAAGCCTGTCGCAGAGGGGAGGGAGGGAGGTCGCCCCTTTGCTTGGAAGCGCAGGTTTCCAGGCCCTGGCTTGAGGGGGGGATCAGGTGAGTTTCATCACTGTGCAGCGCGGGAAGGACATGACTTGGGAGCCAGGGCTCTCGGCTCCAGCCTGAGCCTTGCCCTGGCTTGCTGGAACCCTTGCTGAGGAAGGCCTTTGCCCTCTCAGGTTAGAGATGGCCTCTGAGGTCTCTCCTGGCTCTGAGAATATAGGACCCCAAGCCCATCTGCAGCATCTATGTTGTGGGGAGAGCCAGAGCTGCTGCTTCACAGGGCTGGGCAGGCAACCGAATGACGATTGAGTGCCAGGCAGCGCAGAGGGACTGGTGCCAGGGCCACCAGAGATGGTTCTTGATAAGTGGCGGCAGCTGCTCTTGCCTGCAGATACCCCAGAGCTGGCAGTACTGGCCGTAGGAGCTGCCAAGGTCGCGCTGCCCACGGTGTCTCCTGACCTCCACTGATCAGACAGATAAGAACTGGGGACAAAAGATTCAGGGGTGAAGGCTTCCTCCACCACCGAGCTCTTGGCTTCTTTGGCTCGCAGATGGCTGACCACTCTGAAGTCTTGAAGGGCATTCAGAAGTTCCCTGGCGTCAACTACCCAGTCCTGACTCCAAATATGAAAGGCTTTGAGGAAGCGGTAAGAGGTTGACTTGGTGAGGCCCGTGTCAGTCTGCCTTGTCTTGGGATGTCCCTCTGAACAGCTTGTCTCCAGCGGTGATGAGCAGCAGCGGATGGGGTGGGGGGCGGGGGTCCAATCCTGTCACTCATCTCTCTGTTATCTTGACAAATTGCTTTACCTCAGTTCTGCCCATGAATCAGGAATGATAACGGCAGTTAGCACTGAGCCGATGCTTCCATCAATCAATGCTCAGTAAGAGCTGAGAACGTGGGCTTGTTAAAACTATTACATCCTGGGATCACCTGCTTCTTTTTATTTTTTATTTATTTTTTATTTTTTACTCTATGTGTACTGGTGTTTTGCCTGCCTGCTTGTAATGCCTGGAGTGGCCACAAGAGGGCATAAGATCCTTTGGAACTGGAGATGCAGACAGTTGCTGGTGGCCTTGTGGATGCTGGGACTCAAACCCAGGTCCTGTGCCAAGAGCAGGGAGCATTCTCAACTGCTGAGCCTTCCCTATCTCTGCCTTCCCTGTCACTCTCTTCTTTAGGAAAGGGCGACAGCGCTCTGCCTGGGTGCTTCTGATTTGTCAAAAACTTATTTCAAGAGTGACCTCCCAGGTTGACAGAGGCGGTGTTGGTTTCCTTGGAGGACATCAGACTTGGTGGAGTTTTTGGTTTCTCCTGGTGCTAGGGATCAGGCTTACTAGGAAGATGCTCCAGCCCTGAGCTGCATCCCCAGCCTTGATTTTGTTCTGTTTTCTTCTTTTTGTTTTTGTTTTGAGGCAAGGTCTGGCTGTCCTAGAACTTCATCCTTGGACCAGGCTGGCCTCAGACTCACAGACATCCACCTGCCTCTGCCTCCCAAGCGCTGGGACTAAAGGTGTGTGCTGTCACCACCTGGCCTTGTTTTGTTTCTGATTGAAGTGTGAGCATTTCCTGGGGCTGCTTGAGGAAGTACAGAGTTGCTTTACTGCCTCACATTCTGTATGTCAGGCGGTGCTGGCTGCTTGGGAGGCCTCCCAAGGCCCAGCCCCTGGATCTTTAGTGACTAGGGATGGCCGGTTGGCCTTGGCATTGCTTGCTTTATACGTGGCTTGCCCCAGTGCCTGCCTCCACCCTCACGTGGCCTTCCACAGCTCAGTGGCCTCACACAGCCATCTTTTAAGGACACCAGTCATTCTGGACTAGGGGCCCGCCCTGCTCCAGTGTGGCCTCATTTCATCTAATTACATTTGCAATGACCCTTCTTCCAAGTCGGTCCCATGTTCTCAGGAGCTAGGGACTGGCATGTCCGCATATTTGCTTGTTTCTATTAAATTACTTATTTGTGTGTGTTCGCACAGACGTGTGCGTGTACAGCGGTGCTCGTGTGGAGGTCAGTGGACAGCATAAGTGACGTGAGCCTCTCCACCTACCATTTGGGTCCTGAGGAATTGAACTCGGGTCGTCAGGCCTACCACATGCCTTTTATCTACCGAGCCGTCTTGTGTGCCCCAACATAGGTTGTATGTATATATACATGTCTGTGGCAGGTAGCTGCGGGTGCCAAGGAAGTCAGCATCTTTGGGGCTGTATCCGAGCTCTTCACCCGGAAGAATGTGAACTGCTCTATAGAGGAGAGTTTCCAGCGCTTTGAAGGAGTCATGCAGGCCGCACGGGCAGCCAGCATCCCTGTGAGAGGGTGAGTCAGGCCGCACGGGCAGCCAGCGTCCGTGAGGGAGGGCGACTCAGGCCTCGTGGGGCGCTTTTCTCACTGCCCTTGCAGAATGGAGCCCATTCTCCCACCTGCCAATCTGTCCTCCTCAGGCTCTTGCTGGCCAGGGCCAACCCAAGCTCCGTGCCTGGGAACCTTCCTCCAAGTGAGTGTGGTCGGAAGATGAGGCAGGGTTTCTCTCAGCATGTGTAGAGAGCCTACAGCTCACGGACATCACTGATAGCGCAGGCCTGGGTGGAACCCAGTGCTGATGAAGCCTTGTACCACACAGGACAGGAGCCCTACCCTGAGCTCCGCCCGTACCCAGTGAAGGCTTTGCTGTGATGGTCAGGACCTCTGGGTGTCACCCCTGCCACTCTGCAGCGTTCTCTCATGCACCTGTCTCCTGCCCGCCCCCTCTTGCCGAGAGGCCTTTCACTTACTCTCCACAGCCAGAATGCTTCCCCTCCTTTCTGCGGCTCGGCTCCTGCAGGGTCCCCTCGGAGGTCAGCCCCCCTTGGTTTTCTTTGTACCACAGACCCTGGGTCCCGTGCTCTCCCGTCATAGTGCCCAGCACGTAGAAGGCGCCGGAGACCTGATAGGCGGGTGGAAGATGGGGGACCTGGGGCTCCCCTCTTTCGTCCCAGCTCCCAGGCCTGAGCTCTGTCTTAGTCAGTCTCTCCCAGACAGTCTCACTCTAGCCCTGGCTGACCTGGAACTCACAGAGATCTGCCCCCCACCGCCGGGGTGAGAGGTGTGTCCCCTACCACTTTTTCTTGCTTGGTAGTATTTGGAGATACTGTAAAGGGAAAATTAAGATTTTTGACATGTTGATCCAGCAAACCTTTACTCTATCTCAAAATTATTTTCAAAGCTTTATTTATCTATTTCTTGAGTCAGGGTCTTTTGGTGTAACTCTGGTTGGCCTGGAACTCACAGAGATCCACCTGCCTCTGCCTCCCAGGTGCTGGGAATGAAGACATGCGCTACCGCCCCTGGCTCCGTTTCTTTTTCTTTCTTTCTTTCAATTTATTTATGTATGCATGTATTTTTATGTTTGAGTGCTCTATCTGCATGTACACCCGCACTCCAGAAGAGGGCGTCAGATCTCATTAGAGATGGTTGTGAGCCACCATGTGGTTGCTGGGAATTGAACTCAGAACCTCTGGAAGAGCAGCCAGTGCTCCTAACCTCTGAGCATCTCTTCAGCCTCATCTGTTTCTTTCTATTATTTTTTTACTTGACCATGAAGGGTTTGGGTTTTTGTTTTTTCTAACAGCGTCTCAATCTTTTTGTTTTGTTTTGTTTTTAGACAGGGTTTCTCTGTATAGCCCTGGCTGTCCTAGAACTCACTCTGTAGACCAGGCTGGCCTCGAACTCACAGAGATCCACCTGCCTCTGCCTCTCTGAGTGCTGGGATTAAAGGTGTGTGCCACTGCCTCCTGGGTACCATCTCTTTAAGTTCACGTTGACTGAACATTTTGTAACCAAGGCTGGCAATCCTCCTGCCTCAGCCTCCCAAGTACTGGGGTCACAGGCTTAAGCTACCATCCTCAGTGTAACTCTAGAGCCACCCCAGTGGCAGCGGGGTGGTGAGGGTGGGCTCTGCTTGTAACCCCCAGAGCCCTTAGCACAGCCCACAAGACTGTCAGTCAGGCCTGGGCTCCCTGCCTCCTGCCTCATGGCACGGCTGGGTGCCGCTGACGCTCCTCATGCCTTAGGAGTCTGTCCTTTGCTCCGCCCTGAGCGCACCAGACTCTGGCCTTGACTAAGCCATTCTTTCCGAAGTTCCTCCCCTCTGAGCGCCAGCACCGTGGCCTCCGGAGGTCTGCCTAGCTAACCCTCACTACGCCAACGCCTGTGCTTCCTCCTCCCATCGATTCCTTCACAGCTCATCTCCTGGAATTATCTCCCCCTCCCGATGTGACTGGGGTTTTAATTGCCATCTTCCTGAATCAAACGAGCTCCTCACGATGCTCTTCACCCAGCGCCTGGCACATCCTCTTCATCTTCGTAAATATCAGTGGAATAAATGAGTGGATGAGCCATCAGGCCCTCGAGCCTTGGCACTGACTCACATCCGTCCTCGCCATTCCTGTGCTGGCCTGTATGTTTGTGCTGGCTTTGATGAATACTCTCCCGCCTCCCCCAGCCCCTCCAGACAGCTCAAGGGCACTCTAGTTCCTTGTACCTATTGTGAAATCTCATCCACCTGCAACCCTGCTTTTGGAACTGTGGCCTCTTAGCCCCGCCTTGCCTTCAGGGTTCTCTAGGGCTTCTGCCCAGAACTAGGCCAAAGAGCCTTTTCCCGTGCAGAGCTAACCTTTCCCTGGGCCTCCTGCCCGGCTTTACCGTGGCTTTACTGTGTTTACTGTGGGCTTGCGGGGATGTGTGTCAGGTGGTCACGAGCCGTTCTCAAAGAGCTGGGGCCACTGACGGTGTTCCTCCCCTTTTTCCACAGGTATGTCTCCTGTGCCCTCGGATGCCCCTACGAGGGGAAGATCTCCCCGGCTAAAGTAGCTGAGGTGCGTGCGAGGTGGGGCACGGCCCTGTGAGGGCTGGCTTCCTTGCAGCCTGTGGGTGCAGGTGCCCCTCACCTCCCTTTCCCGGAAGAACACTGATGTGTGCGCACACTCTCCTTCCCACACTCAGGGCACGGCCCCCCTGCCCCTCGGGCCACCTCCTTGCCAGGTCTACCTCACCAGAAAACCCAGAGCCCAGCTTCCCGTCTCCTTAGCTGGGGCGTGGTACTCCCCGGACTCCCCGGGGTCCCTGGGTAGGTGAGAGACCGCATGCATCCTCTTGACTAGTCCCCAGGGCTGCACGGAGGAGGACCCAGCATAGCAGCTGAGTGTGAGTAACCAGGAGCTGCAGCCATTTCACCTGGGAACCCCGCTGCTGACTTGACGCTCCTCTCCCGTTTACAGCTGAGGAAGCGAGTCACTCGTCACCCAGCGTGCACAGGGCAGACTGGGCCTCACCCGTTGTATCCTGGAGCCCTTCTGTTTCTCCCCAATCCCCTGTGGCATCCAGTCAGAGGAATGGCCCCTGGCTGCTGTGCCCTGGTCTGTGCCCACCACTCCCGTCGCCACCACCCTCTCCAGAGCTAACTTGGGACTTGAGCTCAGCATCACATGGCCCCAGAGGCCTGCCACTACTGTCCCCTGACAGGCGCACGGGCAGGGGTGGGATGTCACTGTGTCATCATGAGGGTGAGCATCAGTGAACACCTGTGTCTCCTGCCACTTCTTCCCTCCGGCCAGGCATGGCAGTCTCCGTGGGGACCCCACCCCAAGGGGGTGGGGGGCTTTGGCAGTTTAGGCTTTGCAGGGACTCTGCCAATGATGGCAGCAGATGATGCAAATGAGCTTCTGAACAGTTACATAGTTCCTCTGCTTAAAGTATCCACGTAGAATCTTAGAGCCACAGCCCACAGACCCTGCTGCCAGAGGAAGGGCTTTTCCTGAGCCCAGTCAGCACCTGTGGAGGAAGGAAAGGCGAGTCTCAGGCTGCTGCAGTGCTGGCTCTGTTCTGGGTCTCAGACCCCTAGCCTGTGGGTAAAGCCTGTCATTTCCATTGAACTTGTTGGGAGCTAGGACAAGAGGAACACAGCACCTCAGAGGAAGCTGGACAGGCTGGTCAAAAATTCCCTGCTCCTGAGCCCTAGTGTCACATGCTGGTGGCTCTGGGGTCCTCTAAGTACCTGTTTGCTTCTCCAGGTTGCCAAAAAGTTGTACTCAATGGGCTGCTATGAGATCTCCCTTGGGGACACCATTGGTGTAGGCACCCCAGGACTCATGAAAGACATGCTGACTGCTGTCCTGCATGAGGTGCCTATGACGGCACTGGCTGTCCACTGCCATGATACCTACGGTCAAGCTCTGGCCAACACCTTGGTGGCCCTGCAGGTAACGAAAGCCATGTGCCCATTGTCCCAGAGGGCACGTGGCAGGACAGGGCACAGTTTCATTTTATTTATCAGTAAAGTATTGGAGCGAATGTAGCTGAGGCACACATAGATTAAGAGAATGGCTTGCCACGGAAGGTAACCAAGAGGGTGCTGTGCCGGTGCAGAGGCCGGAAGGGGGTGCTTGCCTTGTCCAGGGGGAGGTGTTGACAGCAGCAATGTGACCAAGAGGAATAAGCAGGGGGCTGGAGAGACGGCTCGGAGGTTAAGAGGCTTCTGCTGACTACTCTTCCAGAGGTGCTGAGTTCAATCCCCACAATCGCATGGTGGCTCACAGCCATCTATAATGAGATCTGGTGCCCTCTTCTGGCGAACAGGCAGAACACCGTGTACTTAATACATACATAGGTCAAATAGGAAGCAGGCGGAGGCTGCTCCAGGTGCTGCCCAGTCGTGTTGGTCTCCGTGCCAGCATGAGCGTCAGCTGGCACTGCACCTGGGGACCACGGACTCTGTGCCTGTGCAGGTCAGAGGATGACTGAGGAGTTCTCTCCGTGTGGCTCCTTCGGATCAAACTCGGGCTGCCCAGTTTTCCGACTTGCTGGCCCATTACAAATCCGTCTGAGAACCCACCAACCTCCCATTTCTTTGGCTCTTTTCAAAACAAAACACCTCAACAGAGCTGTGTTAGTATCGACCTTCACACTGGAACTGAGGAGCCAGACGTGGTGGTGGTGGTGGGGTTCTCTGAGAGTCCCAAAGGGTGAAAGGGAGCCAGGAAGCAGCAGTGAGAGGATGGGAGAAACAGTCTTCTAGCAGCGGAGGCATTCTGACAGAGGAGACTCACTGTTCCAGAGAGAGAGAAGCCCCGTCCCTCTGTGGGTTTCCTTGATAGAACAGGGAGCGGGAGAACGGCTCTGGCCCACTCTTGGAGGTTGGGCCGGCTTCGTGGGCTCCAGGCTCCAGCAGCAGCAACATCCCACCATCCTTGTGTTTCCAGATGGGAGTGAGCGTGGTGGATGCCTCTGTGGCGGGCCTTGGAGGCTGTCCCTATGCACAGGGGGCATCGGGGAACTTGGCTACCGAGGACCTGGTCTACATGCTGACTGGCTTAGGGATCCACACGGTAAGCCCGCCTGCCCCCTGGTGGTGGCATCTGTGAATTAACCGGGGCTCACCAGCAGGTGTGACCGGTGGCATGCTTAGGGTTGGTAGGGCTTAGAAAGTGGCTGATGTGGAGGAGGAGCCCTTGTGGGGTTAGAGGCCCTGACAGCAGCCTGGGGTGTGTGTCTGCATAACCAAGAGTCTCAACAGGAGATGCTCAGTTGGTGGCCTAGGAGGAGTAGACTAAGACCCCAGGGGTGGGAAGGAGCCAACCAGAAAGGTGCAGAAGAAGCAGCGTGGAGGAGGAGACTTTGGTCTGGTTGAACATGAGCATGAGCACAAGAGACCAGGACCTCAGGGTGCCATCCACTGTCCAGTTCTAGGAGGCCCCTCAGAGTGTGTATGTGGAAAGGGCCTTACAAAGGTCCAGCTTCAGCCGGGCATGGTGGCGGGAGCCTTTGATCCCAGCACTCGGTGAGGCAGAGGAAGGTGTATCTCTAGGAGTTCAAGGCCAACCTGGTCTACAAAGTGAGCCAAGGACAGCCAAGGCTACACAGAGAAACTCAGTCTCCAAAGAGAAAACAAAAAGAAGGGCCAGCTTCCTGAGTTATTTCCAACCAGGCTGTTTTCTCTGTGAAATGAAGACAGACTGGCCACACGGAGCTCCACCAGACTCTTCAGGGACTTCGGGAGTGGCATAGAAATGACACTGCATGCCTGCTTTGAGGTCCGATGCTTTCAAACCCAGATCTGGCCCCCAGAGGCTGTCAGCCTCAGTATTTCATCTCTCTCAACTTGAGTAATGTCAGTAAAAGTGGCGCTCTAGATTGTTATAGGATTAAAAAATGTATGGCCAGAGGTGAGGCCCTGGGCCAGCCTCTACCCTGAGAAGAAACTGTAGAATGCTTGGTACTCGGTGGCAGATAGGAGGCACTCTTACAGTCAGTCACATGAGGTGAGGAGGTGGCTCAGGAGTGGGACCCTTGACTAACGTGAGCAATGGTCTGGGTGCCAGTCCCAGCCCAGGAAAAGACATATGAACAAATGAACATGGAATTTCCTGCGGGCCAAGCAGGCCCTGAGCTAGCCCCTGAACGTGGAGATGGGACAAGACCCCCCCTTCTGGTGGTGGCCTCACAAACCTCTATAGAGAAAGAACCCTGGGTGCCAGCTGGTCGCAACCTCACAGACAGTGGTGCCCGCTGTTGCAACAGGGCCCTGTTTGCTGACCTCTCCCCTTTTGCATGCCGCAGCTGGCCAGCCTGTTTCCCTGAGGGCATGCCCTGACTTACTTTATCCTCTATTTTACTTCTCCAAGGGTGTGAACCTCCAGAAGCTGCTTGAAGCTGGGGACTTCATCTGTCAAGCCCTGAACAGAAAAACCAGCTCCAAAGTGGCACAGGCCACCTGCAAACTCTGAGCCCCTCACTCCCTGAAGACCTGGGACTGTGGGAGATGGGTGTATGTGCACAATGATTCCTACATGGGGGAAATGAAATGAGGGCAAATGAGCAGGCAACAGGTCCTTCTCCCAGACAGAAAGGGCTACCGCTGCCAGGCCTGGGACTGCCCTGGAGCCTGGAAGTCCCCTTTCACTGTGGACCAGCTCCCCAGAGCTGAGTGCTTGCTTGGGATGGCCCTGGGTCTCCTGGGAGAGTATGCTAGGCAACAGAGCTGATGTCCATCCTGCCATGACCGAGGGTCCTGTGAGAGGGAGTGTCCCCTACCCCCAAGCCAGCACAGCATTTGCTGAAATGGTGGGGTTGATCTGTTGCAGGGGCCATCTGGCAACTCCAGTATCTCTGGAAAATCATTCTGTATATGATTTTTGAAAACAGCTTATGTAATTAAAGATCTAATTTTCTAATATCCAACCATGCAAATGCGTGTTTGTCTATGGGCAGAGGAATAAGATTATCTTTGGGCTTTGGATGGCTTATCTCTGGATTTCTCCCATCTCCAAACTCCCCACCCAGTGACTGGAAATCATTACTGTGGGACTGTTCCTGAGACCAGCATGGTGGCTGGCCGGGACACCCAAGGAGTTGTTTCTGAGGCTGTGCCTCTGTTCCCAGAGAATTAAGACAGGTTTCTTACTGGCCTGGAACTAGCCAGTGAGCCCCAGGGAGCCATCTGTCTGCCTTCTAGTGCTGGGATAACAAAGTTAGATAATGTTTCCCTTGGGCTTTTTTTTTTTTTCTTTCTCTCTCTTTTCTCTCTCTCTCTCTCTTGCCTCAGGCTTCCTCTAGCACCTATACTCAAGTGCACACTTGCAGGCATACACATACACATAATTTAAATGTAACAATTTTTTTTTTTTTTTGAAAAGAGAAGACTACCTAGATATATCACAGGCAACTTATTAAAAAAAAAAAAAAAAAAAAAACCAAATCAACAATGCAACCATGGGAAGAGGGGCATTACAGGCAGTAAAACTGGAAATGAGCCAGGTGGGGATGGTACACATCTTAACAACAGCTCTCAGGAGGGAAGGCCATCCTGCTCTACAGATCGAGTTCTAGGACAGCCAGGGCCACACAGGGGAACCTTGTCACACACAGACACACACACACACACAGAACCAAACCAAGACACTTGAAATCAGAACACCCAAGAGCTGAGAATAATTAAATAACCTATTTAAAGTCTTGAAAGAATAAAGTTCGGCAAGGAATTAGAATCTGTGTCTATGCCATAATCACTCAAGAGGTGAGGCAGGAGGACCAGAAATTCAAGGTTTCTTTTTTTCTTTCTTTTTGTTTTGTATTTGAGACAGGGTTTCTCTGTGCAGCCTTGGCTGTCATGGGACTTGGTCTGCAGACCAGGCTGGCCTCAGACTCAGAGATGGGCCTGCCTCTGCCTCCAGTGCTGGGATTAAAGGTGTGTGGCATTACACCCGGCTTTAAAAAGTTATTTTAAGGTTTTTTAAAATTATGTATACACATAGGATGTTTGTATGTTTTTGTCTGTGTGCGTGTGTGTGTGAAAGAGAGACAGAGAGAGACAGAGAAACAGAGTAAATATAGGAGTTGGAGTCCAGGAGAGGGTGGAGGATCACCAGCTGTCTGTACAGATAGCTGTGAGCCATGCTGGTTAGGTGCCGAGAATAGAACTCTGGTCCTCACCTTTACCAGCTCTTAACTGCTTCTCCCCTTCTTAAAAGAAAGGGGGGGGGGGTGTTGAGGGTGGGGCACACGCCTTTAACCTCAGAACTCCAGAGGCAGGTCTTTGAGTTCCAGGCCACGCTGGTCTACACAGCCAGTTCCAGTACAGTCAGGGCTACCCTCAGAGAAACTCTTGTCTCAAAAACACAGCATTATGTGTGGGGATGACTGCAAGAGCAAATCCCCTGGAGCTGCAGCCACAGGTCGCTGTGAAGAGTCTAAGTGCCCTTAACTAGTGCGTTATTTTTCAGCTCCTCTCTTTCTCTTTTTCAGTTTTTGTTTAGTTTTGTTTTTTTTTTTTTTTTTTTTTTTTGAGGCAGGTTCTCATTCATCTGTAGCTGGCCTGCCCTGAAATCCTCCTGCTTCTGCCTCCCAAGTGCTAGCCCGTGCCACCTGGAAAGACTCTTTATTTATGTATATGTGAGAAAATTCCAGGTATGGACCATGGAGGCCGAAGAGGGCACGGGATCCCGTGGAGTGATAGGCGGTAAGTGGGTGCTGGGAACAGGGCTCAGGTCCTCTGCAGGAGCAGCGAGTGGCCTGAGCCATCTTCCAGCCCCGCTTATTTTAAACAGTTAAAACTGAGTCTAGAGTTGTCATATGGAGGGCAGGGGCAGACACACCTTTTGGGGAGGGAGGCGGTGCCTCAGTGATAGGCACAGCAATTACTACAGCGAATTTAAAGGTTTGTTCCCAAAGCGGACTTGGATCCAGGTCGCATCCCTGGCCAGATGTCTACAGCCGGACCAAGGGCTTGGCAGATGCGGGGAAACTTGGAAAGCAGCAGCCCACAGTGGAGGGGTGCAGCCTGCAGGGTTGAGGAGGCCACGGCCCAGACCCTGCTTCTCCTCCGCAGCCCGCAGGTCACCGGATGGCGTCCACTCCCTTCGTTTCCGCCCTGCATGGAAACGCGCAGCTCGGTCGCCTCGGGGCTGTGCGGGCCATTTGCCCCTCCAGAGCCGCCGTACAGCCTAACCGAGTCCTGTTTGCGGGAGGGCGTGGAGGGGGCGGGGTCAGGCTGGGCTGTCAGCTCTTAAAGGGACCGCCGCGCCTGTCGCGGGAGGCGGCGCCTGGAGTCAGCGCGGGATCCGCAGCAGGTTCGGGGAGCAGAACGAAGGGCTTAGAGGGCTCCGAAGGGCCTGCTGTCGGCGGGGAGCGAGGGAGTTCCGAGAGGGTCGGGTTCGTGCTCGGGACAGGGACAGGCCCGCCCCTTCTGCCCGCGTTTTCCGCGGCCGTGGCGGGGGCCACCCGGTTCCATTCATTCGGGGCCCTGCTCCCCGCTCCCAGCCCAGGACCAAAGTCCGGCGCGAAGCTCGGCCGCGCCCGGACTCTTGGGACCCAGCATCCGCTCCCCTCCAGTTTTACAGACTGGGAAAACTGAGGAGGGGACCGCTGACCAAGGTGACCCCGAGTCCGGAGCGGAGCAGCCTTTCTGCCTCCAGGGCCCTTCCGCCACCGCTTCGTCAGCGAGGAGTATTGGGGAGTAGCGAGGAGCAGGCTCGGAGATGCCAGTGAGAGCACCAAGTGCTAGTGGAAACACCTGCCTCATCGAGATACGGGGGAAATAACGCATAAGTGCGGGGCAGCGCGCCTGGCATGCAGTGGGCACCCAGTTCAGTGGGTGGCAGCCAGCATGACCCCAGCGGAGACTTGAGGCGGCCTGGGGGAAAACGGCAGCAAGCCAGGTCGTGAGAATGAAAGGCCTCAGTGTGTGGATTTCCTTTCTGTCCGCCTAACAGTTTGCTCAGGGCGGGGCTGTACACCTGGCATCTGAGCGGCAGCCAAATCCACGTCGACACCCGGCCCCGCTAGGTGCTGCCGGAAGTTGGGCGGGATCTGTTGCTTCATGCCAGGAGTGACCCAGCTGGGCCAGAGCTGAGCTATTGGCTGCCACAGGGTGGAGTGAAGGCCGACCCACTCCAGGGCTGTTGGTACAGCAGCCTGGGAGCTAGGCTCAGCCTCTCTGGCAAAGGACCCCACCCTTGAAGCCATTTGGTGTATTTACTGCTTCCTCCTAACTGACCTTCCAGGGGAAGAGTTGCTACGGCACTGGTGATCGTGACCAAACCCAGGAACCTTTTGCTCCTGGAAGAGGGCCTGAGTTTCTATGGAGAGACACCTTTTTTAAACCCCAGCATTCCATTCCGAAGTCCTGCTCTCTTTTGCCCAGGACTGCCCATTCTCCAGACGTGGAGGCGGGCAGGGTGGGGTCTTCAAAAGTCCCATCTTCCCACCCTACTAACTAGATACTAAGGTGTGTCTGACTCCTACACATACAGGTGGCAGGCCTTTAAATCGCCTTCCCTGGGCCCTCCTAACGAGTGGAATGTGCACAGTGGCCTGGAGAGAGGATAGGGAAGCGTCAGCCCCTGAGGCTAGAAAAGGCTAGAAAGTGATCGTTACCCAGGAAGACCTAGAGCAGATTCCGAAGCCTCTCCTTAAGCTAGGTCTCACCCCCCCCCCCCCGTACCCTCCAAGATGAGGTTTGGGGACCAGCCTCCAGCGGGAACCAGGCCCTGTGCAGACAGCCTCAGCCGCCTCTGAAAATCCGTCTTCTCACCAGGCGCCATGGGGGAGAAGGTGCTTGTCACTGGTGGGGCTGGCTACATCGGCAGCCACACGGTCCTGGAGCTGCTGGAAGCAGGCTACTCGCCTGTGGTCATTGACAACTTCCATAACGCCATTCGTGGTGAGTGAGCTGGATGGGATGTGGGGTGTTTTCTGGAGTGGTTGGATATAGGACCCCATTTCCTTTCCTTTTTTTTTTTTTTTTTTGTTAAAGATTTATTTATTTATACATATGAGTACTTTATTTGCATGTGTGCCTGCATGACTGAGGAGGGCATCAGATCCCATTATAGGTGGTTGTGAGCCACCATGTCGTTGCCGGGAGTTGAACTCGGGACCTCTGGAAGAGCAGACAGTGCTCTTAACCGCTGAGCCATCTCTCCAGCCCAGGACCCCATTTTCTAATGTTGATGGCCTCTGCATGCCCCACCAGGAGGGGACTCCATGCCTGAGAGCCTGCGACGGGTCCAGGAGCTGACAGGCCGCTCTGTGGAGTTTGAGGAGATGGACATCTTGGACCAGGCAGCCCTACAGCGCCTCTTTAAAAAGGTGGGTGCTAGCATGGCAGGCAGAGTTTGTGAGTTTGGGGCCAGCATGGCCTACATAGCAAGTTCCAGGACAGCCAGGGCTACAGACAGACCCTGTCTCAGAGAGAGACGGGAGGAGGGGGAGCTGCAGGTAGGAGCACTTCCGAGACCTGCACAGCCTCCCACGACCCTGGCTTTTCCCCTGCAGTACAGCTTTAAGGCTGTCATCCACTTTGCTGGGCTCAAGGCTGTGGGCGAGTCGGTGCAGAAGCCTCTGGATTACTACAGAGTTAACTTAACAGGGACCATCCAGCTTCTGGAGGTAAGAACAAGGCGACACAGCCCCCAGCAGGGTCCCAGGCTGTCTGGCTTGCCGGCCACTGTAAGGGCCTGTGTGGGAGAATCCCAGAGGACCCAGCTGAACTCTCGGACACATGCCTCTCTTTACCTCCCAGCCTGTTAGCCTGTTTCTCTCTCTCTCTGGAACTGAGTGAGCCATTGCCCCAGCCCCACCCTCCGAGGGTGGAGTAACAAGTGGGACTAATTCTAGAGGTGAGGCACAGGCCACTGACCCTCCCCTCCCCGGCCAGATCATGAGGGCCCACGGGGTGAAGAATCTGGTGTTCAGCAGCTCAGCCACCGTGTACGGGAACCCCCAGTACCTGCCTCTGGACGAGGCCCACCCCACCGGGGGCTGCACCAACCCCTATGGCAAGTCCAAGTTCTTCATTGAGGAGATGATCCGGGACCTGTGCCGGGCAGACACGGTGAGGACCCCTTGCCCCAGCCTTCCCTGCATTCGCTGGCCCCCTTGGTTCCAGGACTGGGATCCTGGGCACCCTTTTCACAAGGAGACAGAGGCTGAGAAGTGGCAGTACTCTGCCCAAGCTCGCAGCAACTGGCACGCAGGTGCCACCCCTTGCTCATTGGTAGGGAACACAGCCAGCCATGGTGAGGTGGACAGCTGTGGTTCGAGTCGGGACTCACTGAGTGCCCCGGCCCCACTGTCTGACCTGCACCACACAGGCCTGGAATGCGGTGCTGCTTCGATACTTCAATCCCATAGGCGCCCACGCCTCCGGCCGCATCGGCGAGGATCCCCAGGGCATCCCCAACAACCTCATGCCCTATGTCTCCCAGGTAGGGGGGCTAATCCCAGGGGGCCTCGCAGTACCACTGGTGCCAGGGCTCCTGAAGAAGCTGACCTGACCTCTGCCCTAGGTGGCAATCGGGCGACGGAAAGCCCTGAATGTCTTTGGTGATGACTATGCCACGGAGGATGGGACAGGTGAGCCTAGGAGTCAGGACAAGGAGGGGGCCTGCGCAGGGACAACCTTCCCACGTAACCACTTCCTCTGCAGGTGTGAGGGATTACATCCATGTGGTGGATCTGGCGAAGGGCCACATAGCAGCCTTGAAGAAGCTGAAGGAGCAATGTGGTTGCCGGGTAGGGAGCTGAGAAGCCAGGGAGGGAAAGAGTTGGGGTCGGGGCAAATTCGGCATGTGGGGAGAATGGTACACCTCACCTAACACCCCATTCTCCTGGGCAGACCTACAACCTAGGCACAGGCACAGGCTACTCTGTCCTGCAGATGGTCCAAGCCATGGAGAAGGCCTCCGGGAAGAAGGTAGGGTCCCCCCATGCAGTCAGCACCAGGCACGCCCATCTTCTCCAGCCGCCCTGCACTTCAGTGCTAGGTGTCTGACAGAGCTCGCTCTTGCGGTCCGAGGCCCAGGGCCTGTTCAGCTAAGTATCCCTTGCAGATCCCGTACACGGTGGTGGCTCGGCGGGAAGGTGACGTGGCGGCCTGCTACGCCAATCCCAGCCTGGCCCACGAGGAGCTGGGATGGACGGCAGCCTTGGGGCTGGACAGGATGTGTGAGTGTCTGCCTAACCTGTTAGAGGGAGGAACTGGCGTTAAGGGCAACTGGTCTGGGCTGTCCTTGGGCAAACCCTGACTATCCACGTCTGCACAGGTGAAGATTTATGGCGCTGGCAGAAGCAGAACCCTTCAGGCTTTGGGGCACAGGCCTGAGGACCTCCTCACCATGGACCAGAAAAGGAGAAGAGCAGCTCCTGTTTTACAGCGTCCACAGGACCCTGTTACCCTAAGCTCTGGGGCCACGCTGAGGCCACTCTACCTCAAAATGCCAGCTGCCTGCTCAGCCCTCCAGGCAGGAGACCTCTTGCTCCACTGACCAGGCAGGAGCCTGGGTCTTTCTAACCTATCTCCCCCAGGGTCCAGGAGCTTCTTTGACCCCCAGAGCATGTGGGGGAAGGTCTGGGACCACAGCCTCCCCAAGGCACTAACTTATACTGCTATGACTGAGCTTTGCAAACTATTTAAAATAAAACGTTTTCTTAACCTGGGGCAGATTCCCACAGACGGTCGCTCTAGACTACATCAGGCAGGCCTGAGAGTTGAAGCAGTTTCTTTAATTTTATCGGAATCCAGGACAAAACAGGAAAAACACCCAAAACCACATAAAGACAGAAGACAAAGACACAACTCTTCCCCCACCGCCTCCCTGGCCCTAGAGTGGGGACACAGTGGGGGTGAGACAGCAGAGGGTAGGGGCCCTTGAACCTCAATCCAGCCTTGCAGGCTCCAGGCCAGCAAGGAAGAGCCATGGGGAGGCAGGGCCCAGCCCCCTGAGGGGACGGGCTTCCGAGGATTCTACCTCCTCACCAACCTGCCTGCCCAGGAGCAGGCAGCCCACAGCAGCAAGGGCCCCGGGCCATGGACACATTCGTGACAGAGAAGCAGCTGCAGTGAGGCAGGTTACACGATTATCCGGGCAGAATCACTGGGGTGGGGGCCCATGAGGGCCCCATGGGCCAAACCCTGAGGTCGCAGGAGGGGGCCCAAAGCGGGGCTAGTGAGTGAGGTCCTGAGTGGGTCAGCAGCTGGGCCCCTTTCTCCCGCTGCCTACAGCCCCTCCAATACTGCTGCTGGGGCCCGCCTCTGAGGAAGTGGGAAAAGAAAGCAGCCCACCCTTGCCGCTGACTTCCAGATGGCCGAGGTCAGCAGGAAGGCCTGGCCAGCCTCGGCCACCTGCCCCAGAGGCCTGTGGGAAGAGAATAAGGATGGGAAGAGAAGGGACAGGGCCTCGACCGGCTCAGATCCAAGATGGTGCGGTGCTTGCTTGCTGGGTCCCCTGTGAGCTGGGGGACCACAATGGGAGCCAGCAACTACTTAGACCGGAGGCAGGAGTTTCTCCAGAAATTCCTTTACAGCTGCCATCTCCTGAGATAAAGGGAGATTGTGAGGTTCCCTGATGGAAGGAGGAGGGAGAGCATAGGAGCAGGCCATCCCCACTGACCTGAGGACATGAGCTGTGCATGACACCTGGGTATGTCTTGAACTGGACCCTGGCAGGTGTGACAACAGACCGGAGCTTCTCAGCTGTCAGGGCCCCAAACCGAACAGGTACCATGGGATCCATCTCCCCATGGCACTGAAGGATGGCCAGGTCCTTGGCACTACCATTGGCCGCCTGTGGGTCAGATAGAATTTCCAGGGCAAGGTCAGTGCCACATGCAGCACAGTGCCAAGCCACAGGGACTTTCAGGAGAGGAGGGGCCTGTGGAGAGACTCACTTGGGGGAAGTTCCGATGCAGAGGCAGCCAACAGCTCAATGCCACGATGCCAGCCAGAGGGTGGGGGCAAGTAAGGGCTGTATAGAGGGACAGGGCACCCCCCTGGGGAGAAGAGAATAACTTGGTCAGGAGGGGACAACACACACACTCAGGCCCTCCCTCTCACACCCTCCTCACCTGTGAAAAGCCACCCAGGACGATTCGATTGGCAGGGATCCCGTTCTTCATCTCATGTTCAATCAAAGCCTTGACTGGGGGAAGGGCATGACTGGGTAGAGGAACCGCTGGAGGCCTGAGGGAGCAGCGGGCACTGCCCAGTGCTTTGGGAAGGGGGAGCCGGGAAGGGAATGATGAGGGAGGGCCGGGGGCCTTACTGTTCTCTGCGGCCTTCTTGATGCCAGCTTCATCCTCCGGGGCGTCTGGACTCAGCCCCATCAGGTCAAACCTGGGCAAAGCAGAGGCGGTAGTTTTTAGAAGACCTGGCCAGAGCCAGCAGCAACTTCAGCTCCAATCTCATTCCTGCCCCAAGCTTACCAGGAGGGCATCACCATCTTCATGTTGAGGGTCACAGGAATCCTGGGCCTGGGGAGGGGTGACCAGAAGGTCTCAGGAGGGAAAGCATCAGAGGAGAGCCTGGGAATGGGCAGAGCTGCCCTTGGGGGCCCCTCCCGGCAGGCAGGGACTGTGTTTCAAGTGTTTCCAGGCAACCTGCCACGTGGGGCTGAAGCTGTGTTTGGGGCATCGGCAGTAACGATGGAGAAGCAGAGACTAACACTCGGTGATGGGGTCCAGCTCAGGGGGTGAGTACTTGAAAAAGGCTCCTTTTAGGAGTTCTTGGCTCTAGGAAGCTTTTGGAGGTGAAGGCCAGAACCAGAGCCCATTCCTAGGGATCCAGGGAGCTAAGGCTGTATGTGGCCTGACTGCTTTGAGTCCAAGCCCCAGGAGGCAACTGATAAAAGGAACAGGCCTAGGACTAGAGGACGCCGCCTGCCCCCCCCCAGCCCCTCTCTAGCTGGAGTGACACTCACGCATGGGGACAGATGTACTTGACATGAGGAAGCCGGATGGTGGAGAGGGCAGCAGCCCAGCTGTGCCTGTGGGGTGGAAGAGTGTAGGAAGGAACAAGAGGACACTGGCCCTCCAGCCCTCCCTGACGAATGGGCACCCACCCCTCAGCTCACTCACCCCGTGTCTCCAAGTCCATGTAAAAAAATAACCTGGAAAAAAAGTTGGAAGTGGGATGGGGAGGGTCCCCCTTTAGATCCTCCAACTCCAGCGCATCCCTCCCCGAGCCCCCTGGACCTGGGGGAAAGAGGTGGGAGCCAACAAGTTATTAACCCTCCTAGCTTCAGGCTATCCACTTGCCACCTCCATGTTTCCCACACTGCCTACAGCCAGCTGCCACCCACTGCCTGGTGCACCCTTACCGCGGCCGTTTCCCGCTCAGCTCCAGACACGGTGGCAGCGTCGGTGAGCAGGGGCACAGACATGGCGTTACCACACATACACTGCAGGGCTTCCTGCAGGCTGGGCCTGCACAAGGGAAGGTGGTAGGTAGGTCAAGAGCAAGGTCACGCCAAAGAAGCCTCCTGGTTTAAGAAGCCCTCCTAGGGCCTGGAGTGCTGGCTCAGCCATTAAGAGCACTGGCTGCTCTTCCAGAGGACCTGGGTTTAGTTCCCAGCACCTGCATGGCAGCTCACAACTGTCTGTAACTCCAAGATATAAAACCCTCACAGACATACATGCAGCCGAAACACCAATGCGCATAAAATAAAAATGAATAATTTACAGAAGAAGAAGCAGCCCACCCAGGCCATCACCTCTACCAGGGTTTGATTCTGAGCAGAGAAAAAATACAGGCAGAAAGAAATCAGGGGCGGAGGTGTAGAGAGCTGGCCCCAGGGAACTGGAGAGGTGGCTCAGCAGTGAAGAACACTGGCTGCCCTTCCAGAGGACCCTGGTTCAATTCCCAGCAGTGATATGGCAGCTCACAACTGTCTGTAACTCCTGCTCCAGGTGATCCGACACCCTCAAAAAGACATATATGCAAGCAAAACACCAATGCACATAAAATAAAAACAAATATTTTAAAAGGAAAGAAAAAAAGAAAGTTGGCCCCACCCCAAGGCTGAGAAGCAAGGGCAGCCATCCTCACGGTCTGGTTCTGACCCAACCCCAGAGCCTGAGCAAGGTACAGATGGGCTAGTACAGGGTTTAGGGGTTGGAAGTGTGGAAGTTGGGGGGGGGGGGGCAAGGGAAGGCAGGGCGTTTCCTGCAGCCTTCCCCCTCTAAGCCTCTGAGTGCTAACTTCGTCCTTCCAAGGTCCCAGGTATCCCTTTCCTAGAACCCCTGGAACTCCTTTTCCCTGAGTTCTGCCCCTAGAGAGAGCCGAAGGAGAGAGATGCAGAAGGAGGGAGAAATGCCGAAGGAGGGAGAGATGCCGAAACAGGCTTTCAATCCCACCCACCTCCCATCTTCTCCATCTTCCTCTCTTCCCCTCCTATCCAGCCCCTGTCCAATTTTCACAGCAGTTTCTGGCTCAGGACCCAGGGCCTCTAGAAGCCAACTGTGTCCCATGGGAGTCCAACAACTCCCTTTTACCCTCTTCCACCACAAACTGGTGCTCCAAGCCTTCCCACCTCCACAGGGCTACCTGCTGTTGCTGCTGTCACTGACTGCAAATGGGTCCCCAAATGAACAGGTGTTGGGACTCCCAACACAAAAGAATATCAGGCTGGCTGGCCCCTCCCCATCCTTAGCATCCTCCAAACTCCGGAAGCCTCCAATACCTGCTTCTTAAGTGTCTTAAGGGCGCCCCGCCCTCTCGCGGGCTCCCTCCTTTCAGCTCTGACCCCGACTGGCCCTCCTCACGGTAGAAAGATCACACAGCCTCTTTCCACACCGCTGACCCTCGGGTTCCTCTTCGCACTCGCTCTGCACCTGCCACCGCCACCCGGCTCCCGCTCTCCAATGGATGACCCGGCGTCTCCCGTTCTCCACAGTGGGAACTTGGGTTCTGACCCGGGGTCATTACATCCCTACAGTGGCATTTGCTACCACGCCCCAGGGCTCGCGCCTGCCCACGAGGGGGCATTGACCCTGGGCAGCCTCCGCCCCACAATGGGGTCTCCCACTGCCCAGCGCGCAGCCGCTCTCCCGCCACGCGCCAAGCCCCCGGCCCGGCCGTCCCAGGACTGGACAGCACCCTCCGGCCACCCCTCGCCGCCGCCCCGAGACACGCCAGGGTGGGTACCTCACTCCCAGGGGCTTCCGAGATCGTCCGGGCGATTCTCCCCTTTCTCCCTCACAGACACAGACTCTTCCCCCTCGGCCGCCCCCGCCGGAACTTCCGTTCGAGTCCCGGGAATCCAGCCATCTCGCTGCCGGAATTGGCCCGGACAGCGTTACGGAACCCGGAAGTGGTTCCAGGTTTCCCGGCTAAGAGCTGCCATGTTGCCCACAGTGGGACCACTCCCTGTGATGCAACTCTGTCATCTACAGCCTCTGACATGACCTGGGATTCCCAGATGCCCTGCCAACCAAGCCCTCCTGGGGGACCTGAGTCCCGGAGGAACGGCGTTCCTCACACTATTCTCTCCATCCCCATGGAGCAGGGCACACTTCCAGGTGTGGTCGTGGGCATTCACCGCTGTTTTGTTTTATTAAGATACGTATTACTGCTTCTGTCTCCAGTCCATTGTTTCGCATACATCTGTGGTAAAATGGTTACTGCAGTGGAGAGCTTTAACATCTCAGAGATTGGCTTCCCT